TGCACCCTTTTGTTTCTTCGCTTCCTTTTTCCTGCAGGAAGCAACACTATCTTTTGGCATCCATGTTCTGAATGCAGTTTGGTCTGTGAATTGGGTGACTTGGTGAAGCAGCCCCTATTCTTCCATATTCTTTCTTTACCTTCTACTTTCTTCTCTCACCCACATGAGCATGGTTCTTGTCTTTCCTGTTCAGGGTTTTTTTTGGCTACCTTAGATTTTTAAATGTGCCCTGGTAAGCCACAAGGTCTCCTCCTCTGAGTGGCTATTTTGTAGGCTGTGTAACCAGTTTTACTTGCAGCCAAAGATGGAAAACTAGAATGCGACTCCTTGTTGCCTAAGAGTGTGATCTTTACTGTGTCTTTCTCAACTGAGATTGAAATTTAAATATACCTCCTATATAGGATAACTTCCTATAGGTTAAAACTCATGACTAGAGTTGGGAAGGAAAGGAAGAGTTATTCTTGGCACCTGTTCCAAGGGCAGGCAGATACAGACTCATCAAGTGACAAGGGATCCTGTGAACCAGTTTTCACAGGTGTTGAAATGGGTGATGCAGAGCGGTTTATTTCCCAAGAGGTTCAGGTAGACATTGAGAATAGTCGGGATTTACAGTTGTAGGGAGGGGGTGTGGGGAAAACTGCAAGTAGGTGAGCCTGGCACAACTCTTGACTCCATGATGCAGTGGTGGGCGAGACAGGCTGACCAGCTAGAGGGGCTGTAGCCAGAAGGTTTGCCCGCCTTCAAAGGGACATCCCAGGAGTACTCAGAAGGAGAATGCTGGGCAGTAGTTGCTAGACTGGGTTCAATGAATTACTCTGGGTATGCTCAGGGACTCATTCTTTCTTGGTTGTGCTTACTGGAGGATAAAGAGCTTTGCCAGAGAAGAGTGTTCTGGAAGTGAGAAGAGGGGAAACCTGGCTCGTGACAACTAGCATCAAGTCTGAAAGGGGCTTGAACTTTGCAGGTAGCAAACTCCAGTGCAAAGCGATTTTTAATGGAGGGGAGTTTCTTGGTATGACAGAGCTTTTGGTTCAGAGGGGGAGAACTCAAATCCTACTAGCCACTTAAGAGTGCCTGAAGTAGCTCCATGGATAGTAACCATAATTTCTTACCATAAAACCTACTCTTACATCATTGTTTAGCTTCATGAGGGGTATAATGCCTTTTATACCAATAGCTGGTATATTTTCCTCCAAAAGTAGTTTGCTGCACTCCTCTATCACATGGAAAGTCATTTGTGGGCCTGTTGAGTGTCTGGAACTGATTCCAGACACACCCCCATGAGATGGGAAAAATGTGTGGACAATAGGCAGAGTCGATATATTCACTGTTTGAGAACAGTGTGATTCTGTCGGAGTAGAATGCAAAACCATCAGTGGGTTTAAACTGTGCTGCTGAGTGGCCAGCTGCTAGCTTCCAGTGGGACTCGAATAATTCCTCATTGGGCCCTCATGTCAAGCCCATAAGGGGCTGACTTGTCCTAAAGCAGAGTGGGTCACAGGGAAAGCCGGAGAATGCTGTTTGTGTACAGTTGTTAATGTGTATGATGGTGCCATGCATCTAATAGCAGTGTGCCAAGCTAGAAATTAATGTTTTTATACTGACCATAACTAAAGCTCTCTGGCCAGTTCACAATAACAAGTCACTTATCCAGATTTCAAACAGGCTCGACCCTGCTTACAGTTCAAGATTAGGCAGGCTCAGGCACTTCAGGCTATACGAAAGGAAGGTTTTGTTTTAACATCTGCCCTGTTCAGATTTGTTGCCAGCCTGAACACTTGGCTTGCTATAACTTGACAAGCTGCCAAAAGAAAATAATATTTTATTGAAACTGTCCTAATGTTCCTACATCAATGAACTTCAGTAACACCTGGATTTGTTTCTGTGCGCACATCTTGCTCCTTCAGACAAAATTGGCAGGTTTATGTGTTGAGACTCATCACTTCAGTTTCTCCTGCTTTAGCAATTGCACTTTGGAAAGTGCTTAATACTCATCTTGCTCTTCTAGCTCTGCTACAAAGGGGGCAGAGATGTCCTTTAAAAGTGGGGTGTATATGTGTAAAACATGCCTGATCACATGTAGCTGGAAGACCTATAAAACTGAATAACTGAAAACCGCCTGTGACAATCTCTGTCTCTGGTCATGCAGAACACATACAGAGGCAGGTCAGATTACTGCTGCTCAAAATGTAACTATTCTTGCATGTTAAAAATGTGGATTTCGCTCCCGGCCAAGGGAAATGGAAGGAAAGAAGCCTGCACAGATCCCTCATTTGGGGGCCATGCCACTATTGGTGCCAGGCCCTCCCCATGTCGTCATGGGGCAGTGGGCCAGAGGAAGGACGCAACATCAGCTTTCCAGCCGCAGTGATAGCGGCACATCTCAGATCTGGCTTGGCAAGGAAGTCACAGTTAGCAAATGTGAATCGCTAAAGGAGAGGCTATCAGACGATTGCTGACCACCCAGTTTTCTGTGCTTTGCTGGCTACCCTTCCCTTCTCTGTGAACCAGGCATTTGGGACACAGACTGCTGGGTGTGCCCAGCAATAGAACATGAGGTTCACGGCTGTGTTTCATGGGGGGAGGTGGACCAACTGGAAAAACGGGCAACCCCCATATCTGCTCCGGACTTGTCAAAAATCTGTAGGGTTGCATGCTGGTAGCACTTCTTGATTCTGGAAGTCTTGTGGCATAAATTGCTTTGCATCACATATATTTTTGAAAACGAAAAGGGAAACAAACCCACTTGCTTATTCTGCTTGACGCATGAAAGTATTTGAAGACTCTCTTGAATCTGAGCAAACAGGCTAGTGTAAAAGTTACGAATACCTTGATTTCTAGCACAACCTGCCCAGAAATGAGTGTTATGCTAAGATTAAATAACTTCTCACAATCTAGAAAGCAGTCATCTCACCTTCGATCTGAGCACCAAATCCAGTGCTTCTCCAGAGAGGAGGCATGTAAGCAAGCTCAAAGCTTGGAGATACTAAACAAGCCGATTCCTAGAAACATTGCAGCAGGATCCTTAACTCTGAGGCCCTTGATCTATTTCCCAGCTGTTTATTCAATGCTCTGAGGAAGCAGCATTGCTGGGGTAAATCTCAGTGGAGAAACTTCTTTGCTGTTAAATGTGTGGTCCATTTTCAGTTTCACTTTTATACCTTCCTGGACTACCTCTGAAATAAAGTATGTGGCTTCTGTTCAATGCAGTCAGAGCCAGAGGTTGATAAACAAGCAACAGATCAACTTAAAAGAATGGCTAGATTTAGACAACATAGGCATGTTATACAAAGCTTTTTCCATAGCGTTAGCGTTGGAAAAATAGGACTAAATGGACTAACCACCATGGATGGCACTTTTTTTTCTTTTGGTGGGGGAAAGGTGTAGAAGAATATAATTGCAGTGTTCAGAATTTATGGCTGCCACCTTGGAACTTCTTGGGAGTGGACCAACATGTAATCCATTGGCTTATTTTATATTGTATATTTGTAATTTATTTTAATGTATATATTTTAAAATGTTATGATGATTTAACTTATTTGTTGTAAGCCGCCCCGAGGCTTCGGCGAATGGGGCGGCATAAAAATGTTTTAATAAATAAATAAATAAATTTCCCAGCCCATATGGTGTGGTATTTAAGGCATACAAAATTTTAAAATTTAACTCCAAAGTATCAGTGCTTCAGTCAAGTACAGGAAGGCATGATTACATCAATAAGTATGAGCATATGGAACTCCCTTATGAACTGAACCATTGGCATACCCAGTTCATGCTATTCTAATAGGCTTTGGGCTAGTTACCTGTCCGGCTAACCGTGATTGCTCAGCTGGCGATGGAGAAGAAACAACCTGAAGCCTTCACACATGCAAGACAGGTGCACGGAGCACCCTTCATTCTTTCATACTGCCAAAGCAAAAAGGACTTTGAACAGTTCCTGGCTGTTGTTGGAAAGGAGTTGTGTTGCTTTGAATCATTAACTTCAGTGAGAAGGCTGCAGCAGTATTGCAGAAAGAGGAGGTGGATCTTCTCAAGCTTGGACCTTTTTGGCTTCTGTGATCTAGGTGTGATCTATGTTTGCATGATAAAAATAATGGGAATGCTGCCATAACAAACAGTGAGCTCCGGCCATCTTAAGACCGGACCATGATTTGGTACATGTTTCAAGCAGCATTTGCTATCCCTCTGTATGGGATGGTGCTCTTAATTTTCTAGCTTGAGATATTAGCATAGAGCAGAATGCAGTCCATATTTTATCTTTGATTTTAGTCGTTTCCGAGTAATGGGTGTCTAGTAGGTTATGTGAAAATAACGTGCTACATTGACAGACACTTTTTAGAGTGGACTTAGACACCTCTGCTGTAGAAGAGTGAGGTTCTTGATAAAATGTCATTGGTAGTTCTTTGTTCCCAAGAGTGAATGTGGCAGTCTTCATGCCTTGAACGATAGCATGGACTGTAACTGAACTTGAGAGACCTGGTTTGCACATCACTGTAACCTACAGTTTAGTTAACAATGGTCTAAAATGTTAGTTTTCCATTGGAATTGATAAAAGTGGGAAGAATCCCAACAAGTCGAGTGTACCATAAACAACAGTCTGCTTATACTTGACCCAGCTGGCAAGATCACTTTGCTAAGCTACTTTATTCATATCTCTTCTGTTGAAAGTCAGCTTGGAATTAATTAATCTGATCTAACAGTGTCCTTTGAATTTTCGTTGCTACTCCAAAGGTTAATAAAGCTGCTGAAAGACAAAATAGTTGGAATGACCTTGGCAGTTCTTAAATTTTGGAATTATTTATGGGATTCATCTTACTGTAAACATCATGGCACATCAACCAATGTATGTGTATTTAGATTTAATTGCTATAGTCTTGCATCTTAAGCTAAAATTTCAAGAGAATTGTAGAGTCAAAGCATTTAAGTAGTTGCAAATTTGTTTTTCTTCCTCCTAAAAGCTGGTAAGATTCACTTGATTCACTTGTGGCCTTTCTTTTCTTCAGCCTTGGGAGCAGCCTATGGCACAGCAAAAAGCGGTACAGGCATCGCAGCCATGTCTGTCATGAGGCCGGAGCTGATCATGAAGTCCATCATTCCTGTTGTCATGGCGGGTATTATAGCAATCTATGGCTTGGTAGTGGCAGTCCTTATTGCCAACTCCCTCACAGATACCATCACACTATATAGGTAAGCCTCATCTGGGAATCACCAGCATTGGAAACCGTTCAAATCATAGTAATAAAATATTCAGAACTATTTTGGGGCATGTCACACACAGGCCCTTGCTCTCCCCCAGATTCTGTCTTTTTTGAGGGGGAGGGATGCTGTCACTCGTGCCCACAGAGCACCAAAACAGTTAAAATTAGCTTCCTAACAAGCTAATTCTGACTCTTTGGGTGTTCTGTAGCCACTGCAGATACTTCTGTGGCTCCCAGGCCCCTCCGAATTGCTCATCCATTCTAAGATACAAAATAACTAAACTTGGTTGCAAATTCTTCAAAATTAAAGGTATGAACTACTGTGCCAAACAGGCAGGACAGCCACCCAGCTGCATTCTGTTGCAGCATTTGTATTGCCATGTTTGGCCCAAGAAAGAGCACTATCCAGGACATCACTAGTGTGTGATGAACAGAAGTGCATGTTGCCCTGTGCTGCTTGACAACCATTTTTTAAAAATGGAGGCATTACTAGCTATGTCTCTGTTGTTGGCAATTGCCCCATGCAGCACAGAAATGTAACTTCAAACCCCATCTAAGATAGGTTTTACAATGACTGGCTCAGCTATAGCAAATGAGGTCAACCGAGAGGTCAAAAACTTCCGTATGGATAATGCTGGGTTTTATGTACTTATCCATATTTACAACATTTCTAGACTGCTCGGTAGCCAAAGTTCTCTGGTCAGTTCTCAGATTAAAATCCCAAATATAACAGAAGTTTAATACAAAATGTAATGCTGAATAAAATGGTCAAAGTCCAAAAGCAATGCCAAGATCTCAAAATCAGAATGATACATTTAAAGGCTTGTGCTGTGATAAAAGGGCTCCATTCACAGGGTAACTGTTCCCAAGTGCAACCCTGGGACTAGTTGGGATCCAAAGGATTGGCTTATTCAGTACTTAGGATGTATTTCAAAAAACTGCTTTTTGAAAATGTTCAGCTGTAGCTTGTCATGTAACACCATGGCAGGGCGGCTGTTGAAGTAACAGTCCAAGGCCTGCCTTGGTTTTGTTGCGCAGCCGGCTCTTCACTTGGGCATTCTGGTCAGTAGTTTTAAGTTCTAATCATTTCTTTTTAACCACGGTGTTGCATTCGGTCCAGTGAGGCAAAAATACTTAAATATGTAAATTCTGACAGACACAGTGCAGTGGTTAAGCACTGAATTATTTAGTGAGACTTAATTTGAAGCATGTCTGTAAACTAATCCTCTTGCTGCTACACAAGACTTCAACAAGCATAGATAGTCTCCTTGTGTGCCTGAAATGAACTGAAACCCAACCGGTTTTAAACTTGCATGAGAAGTTGTAGCCTGTGGCTTACTGGGCATACTTGTCCTGTAAAGACATCACCAGCCCTGTCCGCAGTCCCTGCTGTAGTTGCTGCCCAAATCTCCACACTGAAAACAGTAGAACTTGGAATAATAATAAATTTCTGGCCAAATAACTGGCTTGGCCAGCAAAGCTTTTTCAAGATCTTCCTTAGCAGCCTAGCCTTCACTAGAGGAGGCAGAATTTTTCCAGTGGAAAAGGAGTTCTTCGCCATCACAGCTGCCTAGCTTGCCACTAAACTTGCCTGCCTTGTCCTTCACTTGCAGGAGCTTCCTTCAGCTGGGCGCTGGTCTGAGTGTGGGCCTCAGCGGGCTGGCCGCAGGTTTTGCCATCGGCATTGTGGGCGATGCAGGTGTTCGGGGGACAGCACAACAACCTAGATTATTTGTTGGCATGATCCTGATCTTGATCTTCGCTGAAGTCTTGGGTCTGTATGGTCTCATTGTTGCCCTCATCCTTTCCACAAAGTAAAAAAAATACCACAGAGTATGATGTAAAACAAAAAGTTGAGAAAAAAAAAAAAAACCAACAACCTAAGCTCCAGAATGAAAATGGTCTCTCCACAATGTGTACAGTTGTCATCAGTTTGGTAGTTGATCTCTTGTAAATGCGCAATGTATGTTAGTGACTTGTCCGTCTCGTGTGTACTTCCAATATTAAATACCAGATGAGCTGCCTCAAGCCATCTTGGCGAGGTTTGAGGGAAGCTCATGCAGAGTTTTCCATCCATTTGCCATTAGAGTACTTTATGTATAAATATGAACTAGAAATGGTAACTTTTTTCTCTTCACTGGATGTTTTATTTATAAGACTTGACATGTTCATACATATGGAGCAAGAGTTTTCAATTTCCCATGCTATATATATTAATCTCATATATAGATAGATTAATACACTGTGGGGTTAATTGTAAGTGCAGAGAAATCCTTGGATGTAATTTGATTCTCAAAGATTGCCGTTGTGTTGGAGTGTGAGACTGTGTTTCTACAAAGCAGCAAAATGTCTGAGACACTCCTGTGTTCCCAGTAGTAAAAAAAAACTGTATGCTCTGGCATCAAAGTTGTGCACCCAGTGTTGGGTTTTCGCAGTTATATGTTTCCAGATAATAAAATTTCCTCCACTACATCATTGTAAAGAGGTGGGTCTTGGTGTGATTTGTCCGGGAGATGGGCTCCTGGTGCAAGGATTCCATCCAGCCCCTCTTGATGTAAACACCTTCTGTTCAAAAGCTACTCTAACTTATTCAGTGCAACACAAGAAGTAATGAGGATGCAGACTGTTGAAATACGGGAGCACAGCTTGTTCACAACAGAGCCTTCAGTGCTGGGAATAACTCTCTTCGAGCATTGGGTCTCTCCTCTGCCCAGAACTCGGCAGGGGGCGGCAGCAGGGTCGGCCCTCGCATCTTGAAGGCTGCGTCTACAGTGCACATCCGTATGTACAAACATAAGCAGAACCTCACATAATAGGGCTTCACAGAAACAAGAGACCATGTTTGAAGAGCTGCTGGTAGACTTGCATAAGTAAACACTGTGTTCTCTCTGAACTGGACTAACTACAAAGGACCGTAACAGGAAGGTGGTGAGGCCTGGATCTGAACTAAGCTCACAGAGGGACTTGCTTTGGCCCCTGCTGAAGGGGTGTCAAATCAGGAGCAGGGCCAAATGTAGGCTTCTGGTGGCCCCAGTGCAGCCCTGCTTTAATGGCCCCATGCCCTTTCCTCCAACCATCAATTATTTGGTGATTTTTTTTCCCCTGGCTGTTGTGCAGATTTTTCTCTAAAAGTTGAAGTGACTCTCTTAAAGTTTACCCACTAGCCGTGAGAGCTTTGAACTACAGTGCACAGGTTCTGTTGATGTTCTGCAGGGGGATTTTGGCCCTGGCGAACAACTAACCTGCAGCCTCAAAGCTGCTGTCGAATGGGATTTGGCCTTCAGGCTGAAGAGGTGCTGCATCGAACAGCCTGCTCTAACTGCCCATGTCTGTCCTTAGGTGGGTGACTCAAGTGCCATCTCAGAGTCGCTTTGGGAACTCCCTTCACTTACGGATTACTGTCTGAAGGAAGAACCTGCTCTGTGGCCTGCTTGACCTCACCACTCCTTCCCACGTTCCTGAGCACATGGTGTACAAATGTTCTAAAATAGTTGAAGGATAAGCTTTTCTGGCTGACATTTATGTGTCCTTTATGTATCTTATGGAAGTATCTCATATATTGAGAGTAGGAAATAGCAAGTCTAAAAACATCAAGACCTGGCCGTCAACTGCATATTAGGGAAGTAGGTATGTTGCACAGTTCATCTGCATGTTGTTGAAATACGGTGGCACCGAGTTGGCAGATTACTTATCCAACTGTGCCAATTTTTGCAATGTAACCACACAGGAAACGCCTTAAAACCAGAGCCAAAAATTATCAAGGCCCCCAAACACCAACCGATAGTTGATCAAGTGTAACCGCAGTAGTTGGGCTTGAATTTATGCACATGGAACTTTGCCAGTTTCTGCATAGCAGAATAACACTTGACTTCCACAGATACTTTGTAGATGCGGAGGGGGCTTCCCCTGCTTGGTTTGTTGACGGGGAAGAGGAGCCACACTGCCATGTTGAAGAGAAAGTGGTATGAAGTGGAACCCATGCCAAGCACGAATGAAAGTAGCTTTCCTCTACCTGCTGCACTCCAAATGTTTTTGACTGCAGTTCTCAGGATTGCAAACATCTGCTAGGCACTAGATTAGGGAAGGTTCTACTGAAGGATCTTGCCCCCAAAATTATTTTGTAACAAGCCGTCAGTACAGTTCTTTCTGGTTATGGGGCTGTCTTGTTCTTTGCAGTTGGACATAAAGATGGATGCTTAATAAGTCCTATCTTGGCTTCCAGAGTAGCTCTTAAAGTTTTTATTATATTTATATCCTCCTTCCTTCCAGGATTTGAGACTCAGAAATGTTTTGAAATTTAGAGCCTTTTCTGTTGGAACGATCACTAAATCCAGCATTTACTTTAGCTCTCTGAAGATTGTTTTTAAGTGCTGAGGGCTGTCCTAAAGTTTGATATGCAGATATAACCATCACATGCTTTGTAAATGATTACTGGAAATGAAACCTCTTCAGCTGGTAGAAGCAGACGCACAGTCAAAGGTGAACTTGTTTTCTTTGTCATTTTTCCAAAGCTTTGTGCAAGTATAAAATAGCTGTCAAATCAGGCTAAATGGAATTGGCAGACCTTTCCTTTAGGTTTCAGTATTTCCCATTGCAAAGTACTCAGTTCAAAGGAAGATAGTAAGAATGATGTGATGTTTAGATGACAGGCATACAGAGTTTGCAAGACCTTGATCCCATCATCCTGGGAAAGGCAGGGAACATGCAAACAACCCAGAACTCCCTACTATGAATACCCAGCACAGAAAATGAATTCCATGTAACTGTGTAGTGCATGTGCTTATCTTATGCTCTCCTTTTCTGTTGGTGGAGTCAGAGAACTAGGCATTTGCACGTGTGTAGTGTAGAGCCAAACGTATTGTGTAGCAGAGTTCAGAGTGTTGGATTGGTTCCTGAGGGAACCAGGTTTTAGTCTACACTTAGGGCCAAAGTCGCCCAGTGCGCTTCATGGCTGTCTCAGCTCAAGACTCTCACGTGAGCCTACCTCACAAGGTTGTTGTGAAGACAAAATCAGGAAGAAGAGGCTCATGTAAGCTGTGTTGGCTTCCTTGCAGGAAGAATGTCAGGATACAAATGCAATGTGATGAATTGTGACTGTAGAGTCAAGCCACCTCCAGGCTCTTTTTTAGTATATAAAATTGTGGAGCAACTCTTGACATGAATTTGCTGACTATGCAGAGCCATGAGTAACTCTTAGCTCAACGCATAGCTTTACAAGTCGGGTGTGCACAGAATGTGAGGTGCTTTTATTGTGTAAGGAATTGGGTATATCAAGGAAGTACTCGCCCACAGAAGAGGATTAGCTCCCTCCCTTCCTCAGTCCGCACAAGCAATCCCTTCCCCCTCCCCCACTGCAAGACGGAATGGCTAATTTCCAAACCAACCTGAATTTAACTTGCTCAGTATGACAGAGGAGCCCCCATTAAACCAGTGAAGACTCCCCATTTCCATTCAGTAATAAACTGGCTGTTCAAGGTTGATGTGGAATCAGACACCAGTGCAGTGAAGTACCAGGTGCTTCCCTCTGTCTTGGATTTTAATCCAAACTAGAGAATAATTCAGTAATTCCTTCTAATTGCCTCCTCTTTGAGGGTGACATTAGAAAATTCACCTTTCCACCTCAGTTTGCTTCCAAGCCTTCACTTAGGAAACCTCACTGGCATTTCTAATTCGTGGGTCATGCTTCAAAGACTAACTGCATAAACAGGATGGGTAACTGGCCTTATTGGAGAAATTAGATTACACTGCATGCTTTCCCTATCCCTCACACAATGATAAAGCATTCCCACAAAGTAAGTAAAGTGTGTGTGTGTGCGCGCACACACACACAAAATGGAAACCAGAGGACTGCTCTTGATGCAGCTTTTCGATGCACATAGTAGGGTAATGCATGAACGATGCGATTGTGTGTGAGAGGACACTCCTGTGCCACCTGGGTAGAAAAATCAGCCCGTTTTGATGGCAGTAGCACCAGTTAAAACAGAAATGCAAGTAACTAGAAGTAACAGCACTTTGCCCTGTGTAGAACAGCCATTTTCTCCATTTCCAGGGTCCTTGGGGCTTTTGTACAGTAGGAAGTACAACTGGTTGGAGTGCAGGAAGGTGCCTCAGAGAAAGCCAGGCTGTGGGCTCACCTGGCACAATATTTAGACTGGCTGGTAGCAGCTGACTGGTTTCAGACACCTGTCTCTCCCAGCCCTGATTGGAAGGACCTTGGGACCGTTGGCATGGAAACAGCGCACCCCACCCCTGAGCCATGGCTGCTCGCTCAGCATAGTGCTAATCACATTTCTGTCTTGTTCATCCTCCAAGGAACTCGGGACTTTGTACATGTTTCTCCCTGCCCCTTTCTGTCATTTCCCACTTCCTCCTAGCAAGCACCTGTATTTGCTGACATGGTAAACGCCAGACCCCTTGTATATGCACTAACACGTCTGTGGACCCAGCCAACAGGGCCCATGGGCATCGGTGATGGGAGCTGTAGTCCAGAACTTCTGGAGGATTAGGGTTGGGGTTTCAAAGAAGCTGCGGTAAATTGTGCAAGAGACCAAAGTGGCAATTCTAGCATTTCTGAGTAAACATGCAAAGCATTGCCAAGCTGCTCCACACCACAGTACCTTGTAGCTGGGTAGAGGTACCAAAGGATGAAATGGATGCATGACCGGCCCAACAACGGAAGCGGCATGATGGGTGCATTCTTTTGCAGTTTGCCCTTTATATGTCGTTGAAGTGCTGGAACTGGGGGCAGTTGGGTTTCTCGCATGTGCCTTTGAAGGAATCTGGAGATCGAGGATCCCGTGCACCGTTAGCACAGGGTCTTGACTGGGCCAGACACCCATATTTAAGCTGTGGAGCCAGACAGGGCAAAGCTGCAGAGGGGGCTGCTTGCGTTTATTGGCAAAGCAAGGCCAAATGGCCCCATCACCACCACCACCTGATGACAGGATGACGATGACAGCAGCAGCAGCACACAACTGCGGCTGAACGACAGGTCTGTACAATGTTCCAAAGAGCAGAAGTCTCCAGGAAGCAAAGATCACTGCCACACAAAACTATCAGAAGGAACTCTCCTGACATACAGAAAATAACTAAAAGAGCAGGGAAAATACAAGGCAAGGCAAGGCAAGAGCCCAGATTAAGTTGGTGTTCTCCGTGGTCCACCCCCTCCTGGCCTCATTAGGGCATCCCTTCATCACATCAGCAGACATCTCTAGTGCATCAGCCCACTGAGAAATCCATGACTCACTCGCTCCTCCTCACCTTTACAAGCTTCCCAGCTTAGACCAGAAAGCTCTGAGTCAATCCCAGCTTGCCAAGGAAGTACATGGATGGATCTCCTTGCAGGGGAGGAGGGGGGCATAGGGAACTGCAAGATGCAGGCATCTGCGGCATTTCATGGAGGAGGAGAAACGATGCCGAGGTGCTGTTTGGCCCTGCGGATAAGCTCTCGTTTGTTGAGCAGAGTGGATCACCCCGTTTCGATGTTGCCATGAAGCTGTGTGTGCTGTAGAGTGAGTCAGTCCTGCAGAGTGGTTTGGGTGCAGGTGCGGGGGGGGGGGGGGGGGGGGGGGACAGACAGGCAAAAGAGAGGAAGGGAAACAGCCTTGCTAGTGATGCATAATATTCATTAAGAGGCCATCAAGCTTCTTTGGAAGAAACCAGACAGTAAATGCTGGATGTTAGACTGTGTTTTCTGTGGGGTGTGTGTAGCCTTCACCTTTTAGCTCTTTCAAGTCCCCCCCAAGAGCTCTGGGAAGGAAAACCAGGACTCACCTGGACTGAAATAAGTTCTTGATGAAGAAGCAATAATCAGAAATTCAGCAATTTACTTCATTTCTATACTTCCCAACAGCCAAAGCTCTCTGGATGGTATATAACAATTTGTAAAATGCATGCATCTAATCACAGTTTCCACCACTTACACACACACACACCCATCTGTTCTTGTGGGTGAAATTATGAAAGAGATGTGGCAACCTTCAAGCATACAAACCAAACAAAAAGATTATTTTTGAAGGAAGATGGGAATATTTGGAAGAAGGATCACAGAACATGATGACAGGGCATGAGTTTTGCATGCAGAAGGTCTCTGGCAGTTCCAGTGAACAGGATCAGATAAGAAGTGACTCTGCCTAAACCTGGGGGCTGCTCAGCTGGCCAGAGACCCTAAGGCTGAAAAGTTTTCCACACACTCCCCAAGGCTGCATGAAAGGGGCAAACATTTTTACCAGACACAAGGACCTCTCCTGCGTTCCCTCACCATTGTGGCTGCTAGTTGCGAAGGCGCGCCCGACCCATTGCATGCCCATGGACAACACTCCTCCAGGCCTTCCTGTCCTCCACCATCCCCGAGTCCACTTAAGCTCCATCCAGCCACCTCGTTCTCTGCCGTCCCCTTCTTTTGCCATCTGTTGTTCCCTCACCATACCTCTGCCTGATTTTGTTTTCAGAGCAGTACTGAACATCCCAAATAAAAAACGAGAGCCTGGCTTCCATCTATATGTCTCAATCTAGCATGACCAAGAAAGAATCCAGAATGATGCCGTGCATACTCTGGGATGGGGTTATTTAGATAGAGAACTGGCTTGGTTCTTCATGGCTCCCATTGAGTTCTGTGGAGAAAGTAAATTGGAGACACTGTCAGGGCACACCCAAGGAAGTGAGACCAGAGGGGGCCAGTGCATTCATCAACCTAGCTGGGTTCCTGAGTGCACGCCTTTATTTTCCTCCATGTCAGGTGGATGTGGTCACTCAGTCCTATGAGCAGAAGTAAAACAGCGCTCCAGGGCACCACTGCAGTAGGGACCGGTCTCATGCCGAACCCTGACCGGCTGCACCCCGCGGGGAGCAAGGGATTGCCATGCATCTCCGTACAGCTTGGAAGCGGTGCAGTGTAGGGCCATAAGGATGGTGAGACTTAGGAAGCTGGGTCTTTTCAGCCTGGAGAAGAGGAGACTGCAAGGGGATCTGTTGGCGACATACAGGTACGTGAAGGGGTGTCACATGGAGGTGGGTAGAGACCTGTTCTCCCCTGCAGAGGAAGGCAGGACCCGCTCCAACCGAGCAAAGCTCAGGGAACCAAGGTTCCATTTGGATGCCAGGAAGCACTTCCTGACAGTTAGGACCCCGAGGGTGTGGAATGGGCTTCCACAGGAGGTGGTTGAGGCCCCATCGGTGCGGGTGTTCAAAGATAGGCTGGACGTCCACATGGTGGGCATGTTGTGAGTGGAGCCGGCTGGAGTTGGGGGTCAGACCAGGTGGCCCAGGAGCCCCCTTCTGGCTCACTCTGTTTCTATGTTTCTAATATTGCAGTTACAGCAATATTTGGGCATTATGCCTTCGCTGTCAAAACTACAGAGGAAATCCAAGCCAACAGCGAAGTTAAACAACCCTAAGCAAGGCATTATCATCATACAAAATCCGCCCCAAGGCTTCAATGGCTTTGGGGAGAGGATGCAGAGAGGATGCAAATCTTCTGTTAGCAAAGGCAGGGGCAGCAAAAGCAACACAGATTATTTTGCAGCATTCTGCAGTCTGAGTGACTCAGCCCTTGGCTCAAGCTGTTGCTGTCTTTGTCATGACAATATCAGAAGCCTTTATTAAAACGCCAGGCCTGTGGTCAGGAAATCCTTCAGCAGTGGATAAAAGACATCTTTTTCAAAGATGAGCAATGCTGATTGATGTTTTGTCTGCAGCCACCTCAGATCTTTATTGAATCTATGCAGTACTGCAACAGTCTTGCTGCCTATGCCATTATTTTAAATGTTCTCGACAAATTTTCCCCCAACAAAGCACTTTGAAAAATAGTGAAATGGAAAAGCATCACCAAGAAGGTTCTTGACATTAAAATGAGCATATAGTCCCAAAAATTAAGACAAGGTGTTACCAAAGCTGAATCTTCTGTATTTTCTAGTCACCCCTCCAAATCCAGATTGGATTCCAGTTTCCTTACCACTAAATTAGTTACCTATTTATTTTTGAGCCATCTGTGCCACTTACGCTAGCTCTGGGGACAGAAGAAAGCAGTTCACTGAAACCCTTGCCCTCAGTCCAGTTCAGTCAAAGTCCTGCCAATACATATTTGCCGAAAGGGCTTCATCAACACACACGAGCAAGCAGATAGGGAGATCAAGAGGCTTGGAACCTGAAGGCTTACAGAAGCACAACAAAATATTTGCAGGACCTAATGACCTCTCCCCAAAATACAGCTGAGTGGCATTCAGTTCCTCACATGTCCTGGGATAGCTGGGAAGGCCCCCTGAGACAGCCAGAGTATTGACAAGTCTGATTTAGTTTCAGGCAGCTTGCAATTTTGGATGACCAGGGGACTTCCACAGAGGACTGTCCTCTCTTTGAAGGGTTGTCCTGCCCAATCCACAAGCCACAAGAACTGTTGCCTGTCACCGCGAGCACCTGTACAACAGACTAATCAGGCAGGCAAGTTACATGCTCACAAGTCCACTCACATTGTAGTGAGATATATGGTTGGTTGGTTGATTTGTTTCTATCCAGACTTTTTTCTTGCAAGGAAAGGAACATAATCCTCCTCCTCTTCATTTTTTGCTCATCACAACCCTGTGAGGTAGGTTAGGTTGAGAGTTAGTGATTGGCCCAAAGTCACTCGCGGATCTTCATGACTGAGTGGAGAATCTGAATCTCCTGAGTTTCTCATCTCATCACTCCAACCACTACACCACACTGGCTTTCTTATAATTGGAAATTGTAATAATCGTTTCACATTTGCACTTAGCCATATAAATCAGCACGTGCAAAGTTTATGCAGATCACTGTCTTTTTTTGGGGGGGGTGTATTTTTTTTGGTTTCATTTGGTTTTTTGCCGTTCATACGAGGGTCACCCTATTGCTCGGTTTCTCATCAGCGATTGTGTATGCACTTCTAACATACAACTAGAGAGGGAAAGCTTTTGCTGCCTGTCCATGCAGGAGGAGCTGGACCTGTGGAATGCCTGCCTGCCAGAAGACAACTTCACAGGTCCATACAGTGTTGTGCAGATATGACTAGCAGGCCTAGTGAACCTACCACAGACATCCACGTGCAGTTGGGACACATTTTGTGCAGCTATATAAAAATAAACCTTTGTGGAAACTACGTTTTTCTGCAGAAGGGAGTGAGAACGTGCAACTTGTATCTTTTTCCGTGGAAATATTCCGGGAGGCGCTCACGCGTTGGGGATGCGGTTGGGGGAATGCTCCGGATCCCCGTGCAGTGGGAAAGAGATGCTGCAAATAACCCCAAAGAGAGAGACTGGCAAAAGCAGGCAAGCGCAGCCTTCCTTTGATTTCCCGGCTCCCCCGCCTCCCTCCAGCAAAGTGCACCGTCAGCCGCTCTCGCGGGCCGCGCCCCTCGCAGACTCAGCGGTCCTGTGACTCCTCGGAAGGGAGGGAACACCCGCCGCGGCTCCTGCCCGGCCTTTCCCTTCCCATCATGGAGGCTCCGCGGGGCCACTCACGTGGCCCTCGGGCGGGAAGCCCCGCCCCCTCGGCCGCCAGCTGATGAGAGATCACGTGGCCGGCATCCGGGCGAGGGCGAGCCGAAGGCAGAAGTTGGGCAGCCCGGGCGACGGAGGTCTCTTGGTGGGTGCTGGGTAAGGCCGGCCGTGGTGCTCCGCGCTGCTCTTCGGGGCGGGGTTGGAGGGGATCGGGGGGGGGGCTCCCCGCCGCCGCCGCCGCCGCCGCCGCCTGGATTAGCCTGTCTTTTCCGAGAGTGGAAATTCTAGCCAGTGGGAAGCGGTCCATGTAAATCTCATGTTAATATATGCAAATGTAGGCGGGCTGGACCATTAGCAGGCTGCGATCTTGTTGCATTATTCCGAGCAGAAGTGTTGCGCGGACCTCCCCCGCCCCGCGGTCCCTCCGCTCACCGGAGCGCTGGGGCCAGTTTGATCCTTGTCTTGGAAACACGAGGTGGGCACGGGGCGGGGAACAGCTTCGTGCATCGCATCGCAAGGTATTGCATTACAAAGACGGGTGAACCGCCTTTCCCAACAACGTTTTCAACAGCTGGTTTACAATACATGAAAAGGACAACAGAAGCAACCCTGAAAACAGTTTTGTGGAATTTTGATTGTCCATAATGAAGATATGATCCAACTTTGAATTTTGGATTTTTTTTTCTCATGGACTGGGGCGACTGGTCTTTGTGTCTTTTAGATCTGGTCAGTTCATGTCATTTTCCTATTTATTCATGGGTTCAAATTATTTTGTTCACAACGCTGCTGACAGTATGCAAAACGGCAATATTGATGCACCACAGTTAGGACTACTAAATCTAGTGGGATAAAAATTACTATGAGAGCCCCATAAAAGGCTTGCAGTGGGGGGCAGGGGAAAGCAACACATTCTGTGCCTTTTTAAAAACAAGAAGGGAAGGGTTTGACAGAGCTGCCCAGGAGGACATTCTGCAGAAAAGGCCCTGCCCTGAATATCAACCAGATTGTTCCTTGCCAGTTACCAGCCAATGTGTAGGATAGTGAAGGTGCTCAAACGGCCTGGGCAGCACCCCTTCAGATAATATGGTCCCAAACCATCTAGGGCCTTAAAGGTTACCAGCAGCACTTTAAACTGAGCTTTGTTTTATTGATAACCTTTCCAGCAAGATTTGCTTCCAAACCTTTTCACCAAGATTTGCTTGCTGATTGAAATCCATCATGAAGACAATATAATTAGGAATGTGTTGCTCGTGTAACTGGGACCATAGCCCAGGTTCCTGATTGCTCCTTGGAGAGGCCTTGGGCGGTTGGACTTGTGGGTGGCTGATGCCAAGCCGGCAGAGTTACTTCTTTCATTAAAACATAATGAAGACGAGAGTCGCAAGAAATTGAATGGGATGCCTAACGTTGTGCTTTTTCTGACTCTGTGCAGATTGTTTATTGCAGTTATATTGGAGGCAAGCAGATTTTAGGTTTGCAGGTTCACATTTTAAAAACTTAGAATCCTAGGGGGCACCAACCAGAGTTAGATGCAAAGCAGCTCTTGGGGTTGGGGAACACACGTCCCATAAGAATTAGGAGTAGGGCGCTTCTGAACTTCAGACGAAAATCACTGGAGCTTTCTTGTTCTTTGGTTCAGCAGCCTAATTGAGAAGTGGGAGTGTCTTTTGGCTGAGTCAGAAAACCTTGTTGATCTACTGCAGATCTGCCAGGAAGCCCAGATCTGTCTTCTGCCCACCACAGTTTTATAGCCAGCCTTTTAAAAAGATGTTTTTCTTGGCAGCTTCCAGCATATTTAAATGTAATCCATACATAGCAGTAGAACTACATAAAAAATTAAAAGCAGCATAGAAAAGCAATGTAAAAGTAGTTTCACGGGGAGCCTAGGGTACCTGAAAGATAACCAGTGCGGAGTAATACTTAATAGCATGGGTTTGGATCTTGGATGATCTGGGTTCGAGTCCCCGCTCAGCCATGAAGCCAAGTGGGCGACTTTGGGCCAGTCACAGACTCCCTGCCCAACCTTCCTCACAGGGTTGCTGTTGTGGGGATAAGATTGAGAGCAGGAGAAGAAGAATGATGTAAGTCGCTCTGCATTCTTTAAAAAAGAAAAAGATGGTATATAAATCTAATAAATAAAGTAACACTTGAGGATACTAGTTCAGCTTCTCAGGGAAGGGCATGTCACAAAGCTTTATTTCACACTGACATAAGACATTAGCAGTGGTATTGCTAGCCATATTTGGGTCCCAATCCCACAGGGCAGAAATCTGCACAACATTCTACTTAGAGAATCCTCAAACCAGTATATTGGAATATAAGTTTAATAAATCAATCAGTCAATCAATATTATTAGCATATATTGATTTCTATATATGCATGATTTCTAGAACAGGCTTGTATTTCACAGGAGGCAAAGCCAATTCCTTTCTCATCCAAAGGACTGCAAATAAAATACTCAAATAATTTGCACCTTGGGCACATGGCAGGGCTTTTGTCTCTGTTTAGTTGCCATGCAGGGGAGGAGACAGATGAGCGGAGGGTGTTTCTGTACAGGAGAAATACTTCCCTCCCCACCTGCAGTTGCCATGAAAATCAGCACCTGCATGTCAGTTAAAATATGCAAAATGCCCTCTGTGAACATCCCTGGGCTTGGAAGCCTCTGGGCTTGGGGCACCATAAACCTAACCAACACCTCCTTCCTTGCCTCTTCTTCCTCCCCTGTCGCCGTAGGTCACTTCCTTTCGTGTGACCTTGGGCCTGTCCTGTTCAGCCACGTCCCCTTCATGCTCGGACGATGCCATCGGACAAGTCTGCCTCGGATGCGCCAGTCTTCCAGTTTATCAACTGCCGGATTCTGAAGAACCATGAATTACAAAGGTGAGGCCATGTGGTTGCTGCTAGAGATGTGAAGGCCTGGAAGCAAAATGGGGAGAAAGACGGGGACACCTGCGATGGAGTGTAGGGTGGGAAATGTTTCTCTGTTCGTTTTTCAGATTTTTCCATTCGCCTCCCCCATGTGGTTTCTGGGCCTTCAGATCTCCGCTTTCTCGAAGGGCTCGGATTTGGGTTGCCCACACGAAAGAGGACAGCTGACCCCTTCCACTGGCTGCTTGAAGTGGCGCATGGGTGGGCCACAGGCGCAGGCCTGGGCCTGCATAGGCGCGGCAGGGAGGCCTTGGCGCTCCTGCCACGGGGGCCCTTCCAAAGCAGGATTCCCCTTTCTCTTTCAAAACAAGAGGCCGTTCCTTGGCTAAAGCTCTTCCTGCTCCAGCGTGCATGCAGCCACCGACAACTAGTGGAGGAAGACTCCTTCCAAGAGGCCTCCTTTTGACTCGCCCTGGGCCTCTCTCCTCTGGGTGGGCCCCCCTGAAGGCAAGTCTTCGCGGAACGCCAGCCCTTCCCTCCTGACGCCGTGTCATGGGGTCAAGGATCCGGCCAGTCTTGTCTGGCTCCTCTGACTGCCCCTCCACGTCCCTTCTAGTACATGAAGACCCTCAGCAGTTCTCAGGGGCCACCTTTACACCTGGAGACAGTGGCCTTGAGATAAGCTCCTCCACCTCCACCATCTCTGTGGAGGAGACCCGATTTCTGAGGCCTCACTCGAAGAGTCCGTGCCCCCCGTTCCCGAAAGACCTCCTGCCTCTTTCCTCCCCAGCAGCTGGCTGGAGAATACGGGGAACCAGAGGATTTATTTCTGGCTAAAGATGCGTAGGATCACATGCCAAGTTTGTGTTCCTCACATTTCTTATCTCTTGTTTCCAGCACTAAGATTTGCTTGGGTGTTTGGCAATCCCCAGAGCAGCAGCGGGGCGTGGGCTGGGGATTCATATTAAGCAAAGGAAATAAAAGAGAACGTGACGTTGCTCACGCTATTGTTGTTTTTCTGAGTTTAAAAACAGCCAGTGTGGTGGCGGCAGCTGCATGACAGTTTCTTGGCATTATCCAATAATATAAAGAGCCAGTCCCTGGTACAGAATTACAATCTAATGATTGTTTGTTGTTTTGCTATATATATTATATAAATATAATATTTTAATACCTTATTATTATTATTCTCTGCCTTTCTGGGGACAGAAACCAAAGCAGCTGATAATAGCCGCCTCCTTCTCCTCTCTATTTTATCCTGCCAAAACCCTATGACGCAGTTCAGACTGAGACTGAGGGATGGGCCCAAAGTCACACATTGAGCTTCATGGCTGAGCGAGGACTAGAACCCAGATGTTCCGAGTCCTAGTTCAATGCTCTAACCACTATACCACACTGTCTCTCAATGATGTGTTTCCAAGTATAACCGTTCACCTCAGTTTCATATATTTTCAGCCTAATGCATATATTTCAGCCTGATGCATATAGAAAGGATCTAAATCTGCTGGTCTAAGCTTATTTGAGTAATTAATAAGCAGCTATGTTAGCTGAGGAAATCTGGGAACTGTAGTAAGACACATTTTGGGGGTACCAGGTTGGGGGAGCTGAGCTGCTCCCCTGTCTCTGGTTAAAGGAACTGGGGCAGACTAAGTTACTGCATGTTTCTGTTTCCAGAGAGGACTTGTGGGTGAGAGATGGAAAGATCCTTAACCCCGAGAAGCTTTTCTTTGAGGAGAAGAAGTCTGCAGATGTCCAGCTTGACTGCAAGGGCAGCATCATCGCCCCCGGCTTCATTGATGTGCAAATCAACGGTAAGACCCTGAAGCTGTGCTGGGTACTTAAGCCCTGGTGACTCAAGCACTGCCGAAAATGCCTCATCATGCACCCTGCACATCTTGGACGGCACTGGCATCTGATCTGTCTTAACGCAACACCATGAAGTGTGACTGCAAAAGTGCAGCAGAGTCCGGTCTGTAGTTCTGTGGGCTGCAGTCTTGTTTGCTGCTTGTTTGTTGACAACCGTGAAAATTCCTTAGAATCGCTGCCGTCTTCTTGATTGTGTGCCGCATTTAAATTAATCTGTCATTCAGTTAAATTAATCTGTCTTCTACTTGCATTGTGAAGAGGTTGTAAAGGGCCCTTGCTAGAGCAAACAGGGGAAGGAGAACCTTCTTTTCAAAGATGGCGCTGCAAGCAGGGAGTCCTCTATTGCTCAGGTGCATAATAAGTCTCCTGCCACCAGTTTTTTCTCTGCCTAGGAGGTTTTGGAGTGGATTTTTCTCAGGCCACTGAAGAAGTGGGAGCAGGAATCTCCCTGGTTGGCCAGAAGATCCTGTCTCATGGAGTGACTTCTTTCTGTCCTACCCTGGTGACTTCCCCACCATCTGTATACCAGAAGGTAAGGAGGACAGGCCCTTCGGGTTGGTCCCTGTTGGTTTCTCAGGAATTCTACTTGCTGCTTGCTGACGTTACAGAGGCTGCTGCAGGCCTGGGGGCAGCCTGTGAGCCAAACAGAACGGAACCAGGAATGGCAGCCTCCTGGGGCTTGGCCATCCCACTGCAGTTTGGGTTGCAGGTTGTGCTTCTGTCCACTTCTGACCTCTTTTTGGCTCTTGTTGGAGCTGGTTGCTCTTCTTCAAAAGGCGCGTTGTGTGGTACTGCACAGTTTTGCGAAACTCATCCTAGTGATGGAGGGAGGAGCACCACCGTCTTCCCTGCAGGTGTTTAGGGCCACAGTTCTAGTCCCCCCTGACTATTGCCAAGCTGGCTGAGGCTGATGGGAATTGTAATCCAAAATGTCTGGAGGGGGTGCAGTTGCCTACCCCATTTGTAATGTTACCACTATCCAGGAACTGGTTTCCTCTGCTGCCCTTTTCACAGCCCTTCTCTCCCTTTCAGGGTCGGTGTGCTTGATGTGTATTGACTCCACCACTCCCTGCCAGCTTGGAGCTTTTATCACATTTTATGATGTGATTTGTACCCTGCCTTTCTGCCAAGAAAGCTGAGCTCGTGGCATCCAATTATTGTAGGAAATAAAATAAAGCCCTGTTTAAAACACTAATAAAACAAATACTTTGTTATATTTATATGCTGCTCCATAGCCTGGAGGCTCTCTGGGCGGCTTACAATAAGATCCATAAATATCCAACATCATACTGTAGAACAAGAAATTAACCAATAAAATCAGATGTGCAGAAATAAAATCCAAAATTATATAACGGGGTGGCCAAACTGAGGCTCAGGAGTCACGTGTGGCTCTTGGAGTTTATTTTGAGGCTCACAGCTCACCGCCCACGGCCACCAGCTGGGGATGCCCACTGCCCACTCCCCTCCTGCAGCCACAGCCCGCAGGCGGCCACTTGCTGCCCAGCGCCTGCCTCCGGCTCTCGAACAGCTGAGATTTACCGACTGTGGCTCTTTGCTGAGCAAGTCTCGCCACACCCGTTATATAATATACAACAAAAGGCAAAATGCCAAATGCAAAAGAAGCATAGTAAACAAGCAGCAATAAGTAACAACAAATGTATTTTAATACATACTAAAAATACAGGTAACAAAGTGCCCTCACAATAAAATAAAACAGCACTCGACACAGCAGAACTGACCAAAATAGCATCTTTTATCAATGTATGTTTCTAATTTAACATTTTCGATGGCACATATTATGTGGCCTGCAGGGGGTACTGCAATGGCTTTGTTTCATGCATGCTTTTGCAGGAACGCAGGGCTGCACCAGAGCACCATCCTCATGCTTTGCCAAAGAGGACACTGCACCTTTTGCTCATGTAAAGGGGGAGCAGGGCAGAGAGGAAGCACTGGTGAACAGCTGCGGGTGCAGTCACAGGGGGTGTGATAGAACCACATGTGCGGGGATAGTAAAACAATAATCATACGGCACAGTGAGTCACAGTGACTCTGCCCACCTTTGGACTGAGACCTGGGAGATCCGGTTCTTGTCGCCACTCAGCTGTGTATCCCATTAGGTGACTTTGAGCCAGTCAGAGACTCACTCCAATCGATCGTCAGCATGTGCTGCAACAGCTTGGCCCAACCTGGCGGTCTCTAGGTGTGCTGGATTTCCGCTTCCATCATCCCCAGCCAGCATGGCCAATAACATGCCCGGTGGCACAGGATGGTCTGCTGTTGGACTGGGGTGGAAAGGAGTATTCTGGAAGAGAACATGGCTGGTTGGCGGAACGCTGGCGAGTTCCACGTGGCAGCTTTTTGTGGTGTGTGCCACTCGTCACACCGAGTAAAATCTATGCGTGTCTTCGTGCAGGACTAGCCACTCTGAGAGCAGCACATTGGTGTAGAGGGATCACTGACCTGAGCCACCTCTCCTGAACGTCTGGGCAGGCAACGGCTCGAAGCTGCAGGCAAAACGGCTGGGTGTCTCTCTGGGCAGACACAGATTTTCTGGGTTCAGAAGAGGCAAGCGGCTGCAGCCAGGAAGTGTTGAGTTTTAGATCCCGGAGAGCTGGATTCAGTCCGGCCCACTCCTCAGCTACTCCGCAGTATCCCTGAAAGCCGGCACGGAAAGGCTTGTGCTTAGACATGGCAGAAATGACTAATGATGACATCTCTGATGACTCCTCCCCTGCCAGGTTCTGCCGCAGATCTCCGTGAGAAACGGGGGGCCCCATGGAGCGGGCATTCTCGGTGAGTGAGGGGCGTGGGCGCGGTGCTCACCCTCTGCCAGCGCAGGGGCCAAGTTCAATTTCAGGGACACTCTTGGGGGACACCTTTCGGAGTGGGTGGGGCTGAAGGCAAAAGGGCGGGGCCAAAAGACCAGACATACTGGCGTGTTGACACTCAAAGCTCATCACCTCTGGGAGAGACGTTTCAGCCGGTGTCCACCGGGCCAAGTCGCACACAATCTGGGAAACCCCGAAACAGCAGGTGGGCAGCTGTGGAAAGGAGAGGGAGGCTTCTGGGGAACCTCAGAGCAGCCCTGCCGTGTGTCCTGTCCGCTGGCCCATGTGCCTGGTTCCCTGTGCAGGGGTGGGCTTGGAGCAGGAGGACTGGGCCCCATTCTTCAGGGCCAGGAGGCTGCCGGACAAACGTCACTCGCAGCTCTGGCTACATCATGGTCAGGGCCACCTGTTTCTTTATTTAAAGTTCTTGTATCCCACCGTTCACAATGTATCAGGGTGGCAACACAGTGAAATAGAAATATAAATAATATAAATATGGTACAGCATCACCAACAAATAAAATCCAAAGCGAAAACACAAATTAACATTTCAAATAATGGGAAAAAGGGTTTGGCCTGGCCCCAAAAAGGAAGAAGCATCAGTGCCAGGCACACCTCTCTGGGAAGCGAGTTCCAAAGAGAAGGCCTTCTCCGGGCCGCCGCTTTGCTGCTTGTCTCTCCCACACCGCACTGCGGCCGTCTGTGTAGCTTGGAGGATGCGTGGCGGCAGGGGAGGCAGAGCCGTTTTGTCCTGATCTGAAGCGCACTAGCTCAAAAGTGCAGCTGCCACGGTTCGGACCTCCCTTGGCATGACGGTCCCGTGCGATGTGAGCGGATGCAGGTCGTTCAGTGCCTGCATTGCGAATAATTCTCAACGTCATGTGAGGGAGAGGCAGGGTAAGAGGAAGGGAAGGGAACTGAACCCCACTGAGCCAGTTGCTTGGTGCCTTGTGGGGGGGGGGTGCAGGTGATGGCAAAGTGTACAAACGCCCTCCCCAAAGGTGGGTGGGTAACTGTTCAGAACAAGGGCCAAACCACATTTTGGAGAAGTGGTGGGTGGGGCCAAAAGCAAAGGGGTGGAGCCGAACTGATCAACATTCCCAACATCTTCAAGCTTAACGCTCTTGCTGCCAGCAAGGAAGGCTCAGGAGAGGCCTTTGGGGCATTTAGATTGTGGGGGGGAACTGCTTAAAACCTGAGAAACCGCCATGCAGCCGGTGGTCAGCCCGTGAAGGGCGGGTGGCTCTCGCGGGGCAGGGCTCAGACCCCGTGCAGCCCAGATTCAAACCCTGGGCATGTTCTGCTGTATTCCTGCTGCCACACTCCTCTCCCTTCCCTCAGGGGTTCATCTGGAGGGTCCTTTCATCAGCAAGGAAAAGAGAGGGGCTCACCCGGAGCAGTACCTTCGCACCTACGAGGCAGGTGCCTTCCAGGATCTGCTTGCCACCTATGGGTCCTTGGACGGTGTCCGGATTGTCACCTTGGCCCCTGAGATTGGACGCAGCAGTGAGGTGATCCGCGAGCTCTGCAAGCGGGGCATCTGTGTGTCACTAGGTAAGTGTCATCCCCGGACTTTCTTGGGTCTCAGGTAGATAGTCAATCCTATATTCAGCAACTGTTTCAAAACCATCACGCTGAAAAATGATGTGTTTGCCCCTCTGGAGAAGGAATAAGGGATTTTTCAAGGTGTTTTCCAGGTTCAGTTATTAAAATGTCCCAGCATGAACTGGACTGTGAAGTCAGGGGCTGTGACAGTGCAAAGCAAAGAGCAAGGGTTGCTTATCCGAAATAGCTTCCCCAACTTGATGCTGTCCACAGATGGTGGGCTTCAGTCCCCATCAGCCCCAGCCAGCATGACCAGTGGTCAGAACTGCTGGGAGTTGTGGGCTGAAATATCTGGTGGCCTCCAGTTGGGAGAGGTTGATTTAAGAGGTGGATATCCCACCTTCAAGGCAGCTTATGCATGCATTTGAACAAATTTGTTTCCAGAACCACCTCCAGGTTTCTGCTCGTAGATTAGGCACAAATGGACTAACTCCCTCATCAGGGGCCCGAGGCCTTTCCCGGAGGACAGAGTCCTTTGGCTCACACGATCAGAGCAGAATAAGCGTGCGTACCCTCGCCCAAACACAGACCTGCATTCCCAGAAGAGTTACTGTGTTCACTTGGTTGTCCGAGGAGTAGCTGAGCAGATGAGGAAGCATTTCCACGGCGTAGCCTGTTTGAGCCAGTTGTTTGCAGGCATGCAAATACTAAGAGGGGGAGCGATCCACTGGCTGCCGATGCTACAAAGGTCCCTCGCCGTGCCTGAAGCGGTCCGGATCCCAGTGGACATGTGGTTCTCCTCCGAAACATGGTGTTCTGCCTTCTCCTCTCCCTTGACTACGGCCGTGGGGCAGTAATAGCTGAAGGACGCGGGCAAGCTCGCTATTGCATAAAGGGTGGCATTTACCAAGGTGTGCCGGAGAAGCACCCTGATGGACAGAGTGGGCGATCAGTGGAGAACCTCGTGGTTGTGTCCAAAGGCAGCAGCTGCTGAGGTGGGTGGGAAGGGGCCTTGGCGCTGTGGACCATGCTGAGCACATGTGGAAGTCAGCCCGGGGCCTGCCCTGAGCCCTCGGGATGCCAGCGTCAAACAGCTCTACTCCATAGAGGCCCTTTGATTGCCTGTATATAAAATGACCCTTGAAACCAGAAATAGCAAGGCAAAAATTGGGAGGGGGGGTCATCCTGTAGGCCTGGTGAAAATGTTTCATCATACAGTAGGACCCCTGTATCTGCAGGGAATAGGTCTAAGCCCCCAGTGGATGCTTGAAACAGCAGGACCCCCACAAAAATGGAAAAATTGTGAATACTTCTGGGGAAAAACCATGACTCTGTCTGGGCATGCCACACTCTTGATCTCAGCACTAGACAGTTTCACTCACATGTTTTGTCTCTCAGTGGGCGCAAAGACTTGAAATATTCACAGATTTTTTCTGGATATATTGGCAGATTTTTTTCTAGCAATCTACCTGTATATGCTGGCCCTTGAAACCAGAAACAGCGAAGCAAAAATTGGGGGTCATCTTTATTTTTTATTTATATTTATTTTATTTATTTATTTATTAAAACATTAAAAAGAGGCGGCTTACAACATTGAATACAAAATACATTAAAACAATCTTGGATGCCAACATATGACCAACGGCAGAAAACCACTCAAAATATCGACCTTGTCTTATACTTGAGTCGCCTGATATACCAGTATGTCCCTTCTTCCTTTCCAGGTCACTCCATGGCCAACCTGTCTCAGGCCGAGGAGGCTGTCCGGCACGGGGCCACCTTCATCACACACCTCTTCAATGCCATGTTACCTGTGAGTCGCTTGTTTTTCAGAAGCATGTCTCTGGCCCTTCTGGCTGCAGGGCTGCATCTGCCCACCGGCAGGCAGGACCGTGATGTCTTGGGGTGAGCTGGAGGGTTGCTAGGCAGCTTCAGGGCTCTGTCTTGTTCTGCTATTGATTGATTGATTGGGTGATTTTTTTTTAACCCTCCTTTCAGACCAGACTGCCTCCCAAGGTGGCTTATGATGTTAAAAAATAATTTATAATTAAACATCCACACACACTAGAGTAGTTAATGATTTAGTACCAAATGCAGACGGGAATACATTTCTTTCTGGGGGCGGTTGCTTTTCAGAGCCAGCAGTGATGAGGTCATCTGCATCTCCCTGGGGAAGAGCATTCCAAAGGTGGGGGGCCAACACTGAGGAAGCCCTGCCTCTAGTATCTGCCAGCTGAGTGGCTCCCGCTGGCAAGCCAGAGAGTGGGTCCTCTACTCAGGCTTATACAGATATAGGCAGTCCTTCCAGTAATGTGGCTCAGTGTCTTCCCACTGGAACCAAAATAAATGGTGCAACTAAGGAGGCCTGCAAAAATGTGTCTGATTTAGGGCACAGAATGTTAAACTCGACACAGAGCGGGCTGTTGAGTGAAGACTACACAAATCTACCAAGGTAACATGTTTTAGACCATGGGTCCTCAAACTATGGCCTGCGGGCCGGACCTGGGCTGCCTCAGAGGTTTTGGACTCGCTGGCAAGGCAACGGCTTTTTGGACTTGCTCAGAGAAAACCATCTCCGTGCGAGCAAGCTGCTGCCTTGCCCTGCGTGCCCACCCCCCGTCCCCTCACCAGCCTGCGCCTCCCTCCAGCACCGCCTTGGCAGCCCACTTCCACCGCCGGCACCTTTCAACTGGCCCCCTGTTGAAAAAGTTTGAGGACCCCTGTTTTAGACTGAGGTGGACAAAAAAAAAAAAAATCTCCAGATGCTTTGAAGTTCAGCTCCCAGAATTCCTGACTGTTGGCCATGTTGGCAGGGGCTTCTGGGAGTTGAAGTCCAAAGCATCTAGAGATCTACCATCTGTTCATCCCTGGTTTTAGATCAGGGGGAAACCAGATTCCATTCTTCATTTGGTTTCTTTGTTGGAAAGATTTTTTGGCCTCCCTTTGTTAAAAACTGTTAGGATTGCATATAAGAGCAATCCTAACTATGAAAACTATGTTTTTAAAAACATAGTTTTTAAAAACTATGAAACTACTATATATTGGTATGTATGAAACTACAATATCATTGTTGTTGTTGTTAGTCATGAAGTCACGTCCGACCCATCACGACCCCATGGACAACATTCCTTCAGGCCTTCCTGTCCTCCACCATCCCCTGGAGTCCACTGAAGCTCATACCGACTGCTTCAGTGACTCCATCCGGCCACCTCATCCTCTGCCACCCCCTTCTCCTTTTGCCATCTATTGTTCCCAGCATTAGGCTCTTCTCCAGTGAGTCCTTCCTTCTCATTAGGTGGCCAAAGTATTTGAGTTTCATCTTCAGTATCTGGCCTTCTAAGGAGCAGTCAGAGTTGATCTCCTCTAGGACTGACTGGTTTGATCACCTTGCAGTCCAAGGGACTCGCAGGAGTCTTCTCCAGCAACATACTGGTTACCATAAAACAGGACAGCAGCATGACACCCAGGGAAAATAAAGTTTAACCTGGTAGTTCACATTCTACACTGGAAACCTTGGGCAAATGAAATGCTCTCCCCTCATACCTGATTGGCATCATGGCTGGCCCCATGACTGGTCGGATGCCATGGCCGATGACTCTCCCAGAGGGGATGGGGCTCTCCATAAATGGGATGCTAGGACTGAAGCTGTGTCTCTCTTTCCACCTGTCTGGCCCCAGCTAACAGCTTGGAGAGGACCTGGGAGAAAACTTCTCCGATGGGTGGAGAACCACAGGACTGTGGGCCAGATCCAACATGCCGGGGATCCCAGGTCTAGCCTTCCAGGCGTCCACAGATGGTCTTGCCAACTGCTGGTCATTCCCTGACATTTCTGTTCCTTTTTCCCCATCCTAGAAGGCTCAAATGCCTCTCCTCAGACTGACTTACAGGAAGCGCCTGAAGCTAAAATCTGCTGGTGTTTTGGGCCCTGCCTTCCACAGGAATGCTGTTCCCCGGGATTTCTTTGAAAAGGAATTCAGTCCCTTGGTCCGAATGACACGCAGCCTTTGTGCTGTCACTTAGTGGATGCAGGATGGGCCTGCCTGGATACTGCATTCCTGATGTGATCACAGGCCCTGGCCCCGTGGACACGCTGTAGTCCGGCTCTTCTGCAGAGAAGGACTGGACCAGACCAGACCCTTGTGCCGATCCGTGTTTTGTCCATGCAGTTCCACCACCGGGATCCTGGGATCGTGGGGCTCCTCACCAGTGACCAGATTCCCCCAGGCCGGCAAGTGTTCTATGGCATGATATCAGACGGGATCCACACAAATCCTGCAGCTCTGCGAATCGCACACCGGGCTCATCCTAAAGGTTTGTTGTCATTCGATAGGAAATGACAAGTAGCAGTTTGGACCTTGCTTAATGGGGATCCTTACTGGATGCGTTGCTGCCCCGTTGCTGGCTGTAAATACAGGAACCCGCCTGCTCTACGGGGCGTGCTAGGGAGACGAGATCGAATCGCGAATACTTCTGCTGGAGGGATCAGAAGTGGGCTTCTTACATTTGAAGACCACTTTGCTCTCTTTGCTGCATCAGGTGGAATAATGGCCATGCTCTGTTTACACATGTGTGTCCAGAGGTGTATCTCTCTGGATCCACATCCACCAACTGAGGATAGCACATCATGCATTGGATGAACTGGATCTGTGCCCCAAGAAGCTTGCACCATAATCAGTCTCTCAGGGTGTCACCAGGTTCTCCATCGTTCCAGGTTCAGTTGCAGCAAGGAATCTTGTGGCACCTGAAAGGCTGACAGGCTTATGGGGGCACGTGCTGTCATGGACTGAAGCCCACCTCAGTGGATTGAATGAGTGACTTTCGCTCTGCCACTGCAGCCCACAGCAGCGTGCACTTCCATCCCAAACCAGGACGCCAGACCAGAGCATTTGAATCTGCAAATCTTGGTATGTCCAAGCTTGGCTGAAAAAGACTTCAGTCTGAAATGCTGGAAAGCCATTGCCAGCCAGTACAGACTGGGGCCAGGCAGCTAGAACCAGAGAGAGGGGATGACCCCACTGGCTGAGCCCTATAGAGGTAGAAAGACCTCATTGGGGCAGATGAAACTCATCTGCCTTCTCTATGTGGGGAAGATGAAGGACAAGCCAAGCAAATCTGGTGCTTTTCTGGTTTTGCTTATCCCTCACTGAGAATGCATCCGCTGATCCTCCATCCTCAACCAAAAGGGGATTCCTGTGTACCCCACTCTCCCTTCTTTGGGAGTGCAAGTGGCACACAGAATAATCCTTGTGTTACCTCTGATGGAGCTTAACCAGGAGATCCTTCTCCTTTACTTGAAAGTCCACCTGTAGGTCACCCAGCCAGGGAGTGCAGCTTGAAGAAGGGACAGCGCTGGGGGCAGAGACACTACAGAGCTACATGGACTGGAGGCCCGGCCTGGGATAAGCCAGCCCGCTGTGTCCCCGGCTCACTTGTACGACCAGACCAGGATTAACCTGAGCCAATTTTATATCCTTAGGGCTGGTCCTGGTGACAGATGCCATCACTGCCATGGGGCTTGCCCCAGGCAGACATACCTTGGGCCAGCAAATGGTGGAAGTACATGGCCTGAATACCTACATTGCAGGTGAGTGCCCTGCAGTCCAGGTGTGGGGAGGGGGGGAGGCCCTGGAATATTCTCTTCTGCACAGCACTGTAGTTTTGAACAACAAGAGCCCTTGAAAGCCCAGGCCTGGGAGACACAGAAGGGGCCTTCCTGTATGCATGAGGACGCCAGGGACTTGGTCTTGCAGATGGAAAATGTACCACGGTGTTACTGCTGCCATGAGCACCGTCAGTGCGTCAGTGCAGACCAAAAGTCCCCCGCAGCAGAAGGGAAGCACAGGGATCAGACTCTGAGTCACATGGCGGACTCGGGCTTCCTCTGCAATGCAGCACTGTCTCAGTTCTGCTGGGCAAATGTGTGTCATTTTTCAGTGCTGATGTGCACGCCAAGGACTATAAGAAAAAGTACACACTGGCTTGTGTACACAGCGTATGCCAATAGCATGGACCGTAGGATCACAGCTGCTATCTGGAGTGATTCCAAGGGCTTCCAGATGTACTCTGTACATAGACGTGTGTGCGTATGTGTGGCACAGCCACATGTAAATCACGTATGCACTGGGTTTCTACATGTATGCACTAACCTATGGTTTCTTTAACCCATGTTTAAACAATGGTTTGTTGTTCTACCCAGAGTTTGCTTTGGACGGGGTTTTTTATTCAGACCTGTGTTGTTCATTTTTCCCCCTTTGCCAGCTCCCTCCCTGTATTCCAGATGCCTTTGGGATGGTGTCGTGCTGAGACATAATGGGATGGATTCCTCCCCCTCACACACACACTATTGCTGAAGCCTGGAGAAATAACCCATGAACAACTTACATTTCTAGGTGAATACACAACAGCAACCCATGGTTTCAACAAAACAGACTTCACAATCTGACAACAAACCATGGGTTGTTCATTGTTAACAAACCATGGTTAGTTAGCATGGCTGCATTCACACATAGCCACCCAGAATTCAACAATCCAACAGAATTCAACAATCCAAACCATCAATAAGTATTATGCATGAATTAGATCACTGTGTGTGTGATTTTGAATCGGGGAGGATTTTGCTGCTCTAACTTGATGGAGATCTGATTTTGCAACTGTTTTGATTTACATTTAGTGATTTTTTTAAAGTATGCCATGTTAATTTTATATGCTGTATAAATATCTGCACAGTTTTCCCAACAGGAAAAAGTAGTTGAATTCAAAAACTTAATTAAGGCAGTGGGAAAGTTCCATAAAGGAACCTTACAGTGCAATCCTATTTGTGTCTGTTCTTACATTACATTTATACCCCACCTTTCTTGCTTTTGCAAGGAATTCAAGGTGGCTTACCAGACTCTTGTCCTCTCCATTTTATCCTTACAACAACCCTGTGAGGTAGCATAGGCTGAGAGCTAGGGACTGGCCCAAAGTCAACCCCTGAGCTTGATGGCTGAGTGGAGACTACAAACTGGATCTTCTGTATCCCAGTCCGATACTCTAACCACTAGGCAATGCTGGCTCTCAGAAGTAAGTCCCATTAGGTTCAGTGGGGCTGACTCGCATATCAGTAACCACAGGATTGCAGTTTTAGGGTTATGCAAATTGAGGATTATGTAATCCTATGCAAATTGGGATAGAAGAAGGCCTACAGCTCCTGGCTGTTTGGGCTGAGGCATGCTAGGAATTGTAGCTCTTCTGTATTTTAACTCACACAGGACTGTGCCTTTCGTGTTGTTTCACTGCACATTCAGATGTACCCAAAGCAATATTTGGACTTTTACTTTTTTTTTTTTGCATTGGAACCCTGGCAACTTTTTTAAAACAGGACAACTCAACAGCACATGATTCCCTTAACTTTTACTTTGAGGTGGATAGCACAGTCATGTTGGCTTGGAAGTCCCATTTGGATTATACATTCTCCTTTTTTAAAACATGATGATCCTCCTTTTCGGTACCTTTGCCCTGCTTTTTACAGGGACCAAGACCCTGAGCGGCAGCATTGCAACCATGGACATGTGTGTCCGACACTTCCGGGATGCCACAGGTAAGACCTCTTCCTCTATGTGCCAGACCCACCTGGATGGAAGCTTGCCATTGTCACTGGCAGCCAGAGGGTGCTTGACTTGCTTTTCTCACTGGGGCCCAGAGAGGGACTACCTGCGTTACGGGGCTCCTGTTTAACCCTGAATCACCAAGCACCGCACTGGGTTGATCCCTGAGCGCTTGTCGGAAGGATGGGATATTCATGTTTGCAATAAATAAGTAAGAACTACGTTATCTGTGAAATACTGTGTGCATTGCAGGAGGGGTGAGTTGGAAAGGAAAAGCTGTTCCATGAAATGCAGGAGCAAAATGTTGCTCTGTGAGGTTTGCATAAGTTGCAGGCCAGGTGTTCAAAACTTACTTTGCACTTCCATTTTGCCCTCTTATAACAGCAGTCACTCTAGGCCCGTTCGGGGTTGGGAACCAAATCCACCTCTTCTAGGGTTCTGTTCTGGCCCTTCAGGGCTGCCCAGATAGCCGTGGCCCCTTCTTCCACACTATATTCGCTTTTTTGCAGGGTGTTCCATAGAAACAGCGCTAGAAGCAGCGTCTCTCCATCCTGCCCAGCTCTTGAAAATTGAGGACAGAAAAGGCACCTTGGATTATGACAGTGATGCAGGTAATTTGCATGAATGGGGATGGGTGCGGGGAGAGAGACAGAGGGAGACCCGGCCTCCCACCCAGAGCCCTTTGGGGTCATCCTCTTTCCATCTCTGGGCAGTGTTGTAGTAGAATCAGGGCTTACAACAGGGGTGTTGAACCTTTTTCACCTGAGGACCAAATTCCATTTCAAAGAGATTCTCGGGGGCCGCATTCTGAGGACAAAATTCCCCAAAGCCTCCATCAGTCTCTGGGCCTGGATGTGTGTTCACGTGTACATCCCAGTGGGCCTTCTGCTTGTCCTATATGTAAAAACGTGAAACGGCAAAGAGTGCCTTTGGCCCAAGGGCTTCTGCTTCCTCTGCAAAGGACGTCATTTCCTGTTCCCCACAGATTTCCTGCTGCTGGACAACAGCCTCCACGTCCAGGCTACCTACATTGCAGGAGAGCAGGTCTGGCGAAACAGCAACTTTGTTTTCTGAACCCGGAGCCGAGCCCAGGACAGGCAGCCCTTGAATTTGGAGGCTGAGAGAGAGATTGTGGCCCTCAGGCCAGCGCTTGTCCCCAGAGACCTTCGGCCGCTCTCTCTTTCTCTTTTTCGCTTCCTTTTTCTCTCTCGCTGCGGCAACCTCTGTGGAAGAGCCAGCAGTGGCAGTCCCAGTTTCTGTTCACAAGGCGCGTCCTCCGATGAGTCGTGTGTTTCCTGGGAGCCTTGGTGGGACTGTCTGATGCTTTCTGTCCTCCCAGACCTCTCCTGGCTGCCTCTCAAGTGCCGGCTTCGGGGCCTTCTTGCCAAGAGAGAGGAAGCTGCTCTCATGCACTGTGTGAACACAAAGGCCTGGGACACACAACACAGCTGAACCAACAAGCCTGTCCCTAGAGGAGAGAGCCCCTGCCGTTTCCGCCCCACAGTGCCTCTCTCCTGGCCTTCAACTCTGGCACCTCTTCACGCTGGCACGGCGGGCGCCTTTTTTGATGATCATTTGCCTTATCGATCGCCATTTAACGTCAGCCATGGCCGTTGAGGAACTCCAGTTCTCATCCTGTGTGTTTACAGAGTGTATGTTGCAGCCAGAAATGGTATGCAAAGGGAGTTTCCATGCTGGGAGTTGTAATCTGACACAGCTGCAGGATAGCAGGTTTGGGCTATCTGGCGTGCAAAATTACAATAAAGTGTTTTTAAAATGGTTTTAAACGCATCAGTAGAGTTAAGAAATAAACAACACTCACTAGTAGGGGGAAAGTCCATTTCAGCAAACTGAGGAGTCAATTTAAAAGAACAAAATCTATCTGAACAAGAACATAGAATCATAGAATAGCAGAGTTGGAAGGGGCCAAGAATGCCATCGGGTCCAGCCCCCTGCTAACGTAGGACACCAAGTCTCACCATCCCACCCAGATAACTGTCCAGCCTCACCTTGAATGCCTCCAGTGTGGGAGAGCCCACCACCTCTCTAGGCAGCTGGTTCCACTGCTGTGTTGCTCTGAAAGTGAGGAAACTTTTTCCTGATGTCCAGCCTGAATCTGGGTTGCTGCAGCTTAAATGGATTATTCCGTGTCCTACATTCCAGCATTAGTAAGAAAAGATCTTGACCTTCCTCTTTCTGACAGCCTTTGAGGTACTTATAGAGGGATATCATGTCTCCCCCTCAGTCTTCTCTTTTCAAGGCTGAACATGCCCAGTTCCCTCAGTCTTTTCATAGGGCAGTGTTTCCAAACCCTGGATCATTTTTGTCACCCTGTGCTGGACCCTTTCTAATTTACATGCATCTTCCTTAAATCTTGGTGCCCAGAACAGGAAACAGTCTTCCAGGTGAGGAGTATAGAGGAGCTACCACTCCTCTATACTCCTCACCTGGTAGCTCCTCTATACCAAGTGGTAGCTCCTCTATACCACTAGTGAGGAGTATAGAGGAGCTGCCACTTCTTGTGAGCTGGAAGTAATGCTTCTGTTAATGCAACCCAAAATAGCAATTGCCCTTTTGGCAGCTGCATTACTTGGTTGGCTCATGTTTAGCCTGTTGTCCACAATCACTCCAAGATCTTTCTCTTCTTCAGTTCTGTAGAGCCATGTATTCCCCATCTTGTATCAATGCCTTTGGGTTCTTTTTTCTAGGTGGAGGACTCGACACTTGTCCTTGTTGAATTTCATTCTCTTGGTTTCAGCCCAGTGTTCATCAAGATCACCCTGGATCTTATTTATTTATTTATTAATTAAAACATTTTTATGCCGCCCCATTCACCGAAGCCTCGGGGCGGCTTACAACATTCTGTCTTCTAGGGTATTTGCTATTCTACCCAGTTTTGTATCATCTGAGAATCTGATTATCTTTCCTTTTTCTCATCTAAATCATTAATAAAGATGTTGAAGAGCACTGAGCCCAGGACCGAACCCTGAGGCACCCCACTAGTTACCTCCATCCAATTTGAGAAGGTGCCATTGATGAGCACTCTTTGTGATTGATGTAGCAGCCAATTTTGGATCCACCTAATAGTTTTTCCAACTAGTCAAGGTTTTGCTAATTTGCTTATCAGAATGTCGTGTGGCACTATATCGAAAGCTTTGCTAAAATCTAGGTGGATTATGTCCACAGTGTTCCTTTTATCCATTTGGGAGGTTCCCCAGTCAAAAAAATGAGATTAAATTAGTCTGACAGTATTTATTTTTGATAAATCCATGCTGGCTTCTATTAATCACTGCATTTTCTTCAAAATGCTTGCAGATGAATTAATAATTTGCGCCAGAATTTTTCCAGGGATTGACATCAGACTAACTGGTCTATAGTTCCCAGGTTCATCTTTTTCCCCCATTTTGAAGATAGGGACAACATTAGCCCTTCTCCAGTCATCTGGCACTTCTCCTGTTTTCCAAGATTTATCGAAGATGATAGCCAGTGGTTCTGAGAGTTCCTCCGCTAGCTCTTTTATGACTCTGGGATGGAGCTCATTGGGCCCTGGAGATCTGAAAGTGTTTATTCCATCTAAGTATTCCTTGACCATTTTGTCTGTCAATCTTGGGCTGCCGTCTCCTACTTCCAGCTTGAACTTCCTCTTGATTTATGATTTCCTTGTGGGAGAAGACCCTTCTCTTTCTCATGTCTTTTGTTCTGGATGTATCTGAAGAAGGCTTTCTTGTTGTGCTTAGCATTCCTTGCTATTCTGAGTTCATTTTCTGCTTTAGCCTTCCTGATGCAATTCCTGCAATTCCTTGCTATTTGTTTATTTATTTATTAAAACATTTTTATGCCGCCCCATTCGCCGAAGCCTCGGGGCGGCTTACAACAGTAAGTTAAAATAATTGTAATATAAATCAAAAATATAAACATTAAATTAAAAATACAAAAATACAGTATAAAATAAGCCGCCCTGGCTTATATTCTTTATATTCTTTATATTCTTCTTTTGTGGCCTGGCCCTGTTTCCACTTCCTGTGCATGTTCTCGTTTTCTTTCAGGCTGTCACTTAGTCTTTTGTGAAGCCACGTGGGCTTCCTCTGCTGTCTTCTACACTTTTTTCTTGATGGAATTGTTCATAGTTGTGCTTCAAGAATCTTTTTTTTCAAGATTTCTCAACCCTCTTGGACACCTTTCCCTTTAAGGGTGTGTTGCCATGGCACTTTGCTTATCATTTTTCTGAGTTTGTTAAAATTGGCTTTCTTGACATCCAGGATGCTTGTTTGGCTCCAGTTACCCTTTGTCTCCTTCATAATTGAGAATTCAAGCATCACATGGTCACTTTCCCCCAGAGCTCCCATGGTTGTTCTTTTGTCCACAAGGCCATCCCTGTGAGTTCGTATTAAATCGAGTATGGCTGATCCTCTTGTACCTTCCTCCACTTTCTGCTGGAGAAAGTTGTTGGCAACGCATGTCAGGAATCTCTTGGAGGGCGATGCTTGGCAGAATTTGTCTCCCAGCGTATATCGGGGAAATTGACGTCCCCCATAACGACTACATCGTACTTGGAAATGCTGGCAAGTTGCTTTTCAAAGGTTGCATCCTTGTCCTCTTTTTGACTGGGTGGATGGTAATAAATGCCAGCATCTGTGTTTTTCTTACTTTTTGCTCTCATTAAATATAGCCAGAGGCTTTCAATGGGGCTGCTAAGTTCTTTTTGAAGTTCTGTGCAGATATATGTGTCTCTCACATACAGTGCAACTCCACCTCCCTTTTTGTCCTTTCTATTTTTCTTGAACAGACTGTACCCATCAATTGTAGAGTTCCAGTCATGTGAGTCATCCCACCAAGTTTCTGTTATTCCTATAAGATCATAATTGCCCTCGTATATTATGAGCTCATGTTCATGTTGCTTGTTTCCCATACTCTGGGCATTGGTGTAGAGACATCGAAGTTCGTTCTTGCTGCCCCCTGGTTTTCTTTCTACATTTTTTGGGAGACTGGTGCTGGGCCCTGCATGATTAATTGCCAAGCAAATATGTCCTGCCACAAAAGTACTCTACATATTCTCAGGGACATTTTGCCAGTTTCCCTTTCACAAACAAGCATCTTGTCTTTGGGAATGCAATGCTGGATATTATCAGAAGCATCAAACCAAAAGTGCAAAGTTTTCATAAATAATATGCAGAAACTGTGACTGAGTCTTCTATCAGTCCTGGTGACTTCCAATTGAAACATAAAACAATTTTAAAAGGAGTTTGAGTAAGTTTGTTTGCATTAAAAAAGGGAAAGTGACCATCCCCCCAGGAGTCTACAAAAGGAACAACTCAGCTTGTGGTTTAGAAATATTTGAAATGCACCAGAATATTTCAGGCTTGGGCTTTATGATCTTATGCTCCCGGCTTCAGAAGGCAATGCATAATTTTGATTTATTTAAAAAATCTATTAAGCCAGCCCTGCCATGTTTTGGAGCCCATCTGCTCATTCTGTTGAGAGGGGCCCAAGACAGGTGCCATAGTCCTGCCCTGGCACCAGATGCTGGGGAACATGGGCAGGGAGGGACTGTTATACCTATGTCTCATTTGTAGGGTCCCGTGGGCAGCTGGCTGTGTAAAGACTATGGTGGACTGGACAGAGTCTTGTCGCATTGTCCTTGTGACTGGTCTGAGCTGCTTTTGCCAGCAGAGGGCACTTTGCATTAAGAAATGCGCTGCTTCTGTTTGCTGGAAGATTCTGTGCCTCTCCAGATGTTCTTGCCATCAACTCCTGTCAGCCCCAAACAGTGCTGGCAATGATGAGGTCTGATAGCAGCCGAAGTCTCAAACATCTGGAGAGGTCCATGGCTTCCTGGCCACAAGTCACCTTTCTGTGCTAGATCATTACTTGCAGATCTAAAGTGCAGATCTAAACTTCCTACTGTCTAATAGTGAAACATAGCTTTTTGGAGAAAGTCCTATAGAGTGGTGCTGGTCGCAGGCCTTGGGGTGGGGATCCTCGGATAAAAAACTTCCAGATGCCCCGGCACCATCCCGCTCTGTGTTCACTTGCCCTTTTTCTCTTAGCCCAGTTTGTGCAGCCATCTGGGGCAAGGGCTGAAGGATGTGGGTTTCTTTCCTCTTTCTTGTCACCGTTTGTTCAGGAAGGGCAGGTGACTAGCCAGTAACAGCAAGGAGGAAAAGGAGCAGGGAACTTCCACCTGGGACCCCTGCAGTGAAGTGCACCTTGGAGCGCCTCCCCTGAAGCACAATTCTCGTGGTGGAAAGGAGGATCAAAGATCCAATAAATAAATGCCCCAACTCAAGTCTAGTGAACTTTAGTGGGGATACTGAGCTGTAAGGCATCTGCTACGCTAAAGAACGAGTTCCCGACACGTTGCAGAGGCTTTTAGGGAGCCGAAGAATTCAAGTGCAGCTCCTGCTCTTCCTGGAAAGCCGGGGCAGAGGGAAATCTCACGGGGCAGAGGGAAATCTCACGCTGCACTGCCTTTGTTGTGCAAATAATTCAGTTCGAGCTTTGTCATTGAAGGAGAAAGAAGATACTGATTTCTATCAAACTTGGGACTCTTTTTATTATTGGCTAGAGAAACGGGACTTCGTATAGATTTAAATCTGTTTCTAAGTTATCGTAAATGGAAAAAAATGTGGGGGCTGACCCAGCAGGTCCGATGTTTCTGGTGATTGATGTTGTTTTTAGTTTTTCTTTGTTTTAGGGTTATAATTTTGAATAAAACTTATAAAAATAATAATTCAGTTCGAGCTGGGCAACAGAGCAGGATGGCCCTCCTTGAGGGGCAGTCCATCAAATTAAAAAATCTTGAAGGGAGAAATGCTCTGCATAAGAAATGGTCCATAAATAATGAAACGGAGGCAGTGAGTGAGACACGTGCTGCTTGGGTGCTAATCTTACTGAAACCAATGGGACTTGTTTCTTAGGTGCCGGCACAGTTCTGTGTAATAGTTGGGGTAATGCATGGGGACTGGGAAGACCCGGGTTCTAGTCTGCACATGGGCATTCAGCTCATGGTGACTGGACCAGTCACTGACTCTCAGTTTGACCTATTTCGCAGGGCTGTTATGAGGATAAATGGGGCAGGGGAATAGCCAGTGTGGCGTGATGATCAGAGTGTTGGACTGGGATTTGGGAGAGTCTGAAATTCACTGAGTGGCTTCGGGCCAGTCCCTCACTCTCAGTGTAACCTACCTCGCAAGGTTGTTGTGATGATAAAATAGGCAGATCATGTAATCTGCCCTGGTTTCTTGTAAGATGTAAAACAGGATATAAATGAAAGAAGGCCATGATATTGCCACACTTTGAGAGATCCATGTCGTTGTGGCAACAATCACAGTTTCTGCATATTAGTTATGAAAACTTTGCACTTTTGGTTTGATGCTTCTGATCATATCCAGCATTGTATTCTCAAAGACAAGGTGCTTGTTTGTGAAAGGGAAACTGCCAAAATGTCCCTGAGAATATGCAGATTACTTTTGTGGCAGGAAACATTTGCTTGGCAATTAATTATGCAAGTTTAGAGAGGGATTGTGTGTTCTGCACCATATCAGGCACTTGTCTAATGTATCTGCCTGCCAGGCATGCAAAAATTGGAGGTTTGTAAAAATTCAAAAAGTAATTTCTTGTACTTCTTGTACTTTCTGGCCCCTTCAAGGCAACTCCAAACGGGATGGTATGTATCAGGAACTGGGCAAGTCTGACAAGGCAAAAGCCCTTTCGGTACTATGGAAGAAGACCACCCACAAAGTAAGCCAGGGGAGGGGGCAGAAAAGGAAGAACAAAGCAATAACTAGAAGCGCGACCCCCTCCCTACTTGAGAAAAAGCTCCATTGAACTTCGGGGGACATACTTTGGAGTAGAAACGGATAGAATCGTGCTATAAATATTGGTTAAAATTGGCCCGAAGTGCAGGTGTCAAAAATGCCTTTAGGGGCACAGTTCTATGTACGTTTAAAAAGGCCTACAACTCCCAGCATGCCCCAGCCAGCAGGTTTGGAGCCATCTTTATTTCTGTCCAAAGCGGCGCCTTAAAACTGAGACTTGTGGCATTATTCCTAGCCTCGGCGTGGATTTTTATAAGACGGAAAGGAGCTGCTTGGGCAGGGTGATGTGCTGTGCTCGCGGAACGACTGCAGGGCGGAACTGAAGTCCTTGGATGCGAGGGGACTGCGGGGCGCGGGGGAAGAGGTCCGCCAGCGGGCACGGTCCGCCGTGCTCATTTCCTCGGCCGAGCCTCCGCCGGCAGGTGCGCGTCTTCAAGGAAAGCCGTCCCCTCGCCGCCTGGGCCTGCATCCCGTTGAACTCGGGGGGCCTTGGCTTACGAGTAAGCACGATTAAGGCGGCGGGCGAATGCTCTGCATCTGAGCCACGAAAGGGGGCGCCCGAGAAGGAAAAACCTGCGTGTCTTGGGCTGGCCGTGGGATAGGGGCAGGCCGGTTTGCACTCCGGGACGGGGATAGCGACGTGGTGGAGTTTTTCTGCGCGGCCCCCAGTGCTTAGAGCACTTTATTCAGACCTCAGCTTCGCGTAAGGAAAGCTCGTGAGATCAGCCACGTGGCTGGTGTAGCTAGGCCATTCTGTGACCCTGTACTTACGGAGCAATCTTTTGCGTGCTCAGATAGAAAAGCAGCCCTACACCATGGCTGGCTTGGACGTGGCGGGGGTTGTACGGCTTTCTGCGCTTAAACGCGGGTAGGTTGGTACTCTCTGGCCCTAGCGGGGCATGGAGGAGGGCTCTTTGGATAGTCACTTGTGGTAACCCACTTACAAAGCACCCAGCTCCGATTTCTCTTCTCCCCACTGTTGCTATTCCATGTATGACCGATTTCGCAGTCCTGATTTAATGAAGACAAAACAACCCAAAGCTATTTCCCAGCTGTGATTACTGTTTTAAAAAAGAGAGACATTCTCGGAGTATTTGCAGGTTTGTGTCCAGGGAGGAGTGATCCAGAATGCCATAGATGGCTCTGTAAACCGGAAGTTAAATGTCTTATCCGTTAAGGTTTGGGCTGTATATAATATATGGGATCAGATATGCTATTAATGGTAAGACAGCAGGAGTGATCAGGGCTGTGCTTTCAGAATGAATCACGAGAGTTATAATTACACTTCCAGAGCCATGTTAGTAAGATTTCCCAGAATATAATGGCATGGGAGGTGCAAATGTATCCATAACTGCCAGTGGTAATTTGAAACCCTGGACTTAATTATTTTATGGGGGACCTTTTTAGACAGCCATGTGTATTACTTCAGTTGTGAAGACCACAACTAGCACATCTCTTTTCCTACCCTCTAATTGCCCTTCCATTCTCTGAAACCGTATCTGCATTCCTGATATTTTAGAACATTAACTAAATTGTTTGCCAGTCCTGATTTGCAAAAAAAATACTTAGAGCTGGGTAGAGGTGCTTTTTAAATTCACCACCATGACACAGGAATAAAATGGAATTTGCTTTTACACTGCCACTTTTTCAGTGTTTTGATGGGGTGGGGGAGGAGGAAAGCAGACTACAGGGGCCTCAATCCTCTACAAATTTACCTGGGAGTAGGCCCCATTGAACCAAGACATAAGATTTCACTGTACATTTCTCATGCTGATTTGTTTTGCTGTAGGTGCTGATTGTCCCTTGGGCTTCCAGGCAAATGATAACAGGAGGACTTGGAGATTGTATAGAAGCCAGTATTGCCGTCTTTCCTAATGGAAGAGGTATACTCTGTCTTCTGCAACAAGAACAATCTTTCAGTGTTTCAGTGTTAAAACTTCTGTAGCTTTCATAGATGTGTAGAAAGGAGGATTTTCAGCAAGCATAACAAGTCATTCTGTCCATGCAGCAATTAAAATAAAGATAACCTTGGGCCAGGCTGTATTTCAGCCACAGTTCTATATTCATGAAATAGGCTATTAACCATTTCCGTCTTTAAATAAGAAACGTAACTCTACCCCATCCCTTTTTCTGTACTGTCTTTTAGACTGCAGGCATGCATGCAGGTGTGTGTATTCACAATATTTCATCAATGCCTAGAAGGCTTTAAGAGCTTTATCTTAATAAATAAAGAACACAGTTTTGACACACACATTGCCTAATGTTAAACAGGATTTCACATTAACATTTATCAATAGTATTGATTGGATATGGTTGAGCACCCTAATTTAACTGACTAATGCAAATTAATACTTTCACTGATCTTGGGAAGAAGTGGGCTAGAAATTTAAGCTTGTCTAAAAGATCCCAGCAATATAGACATGCAAAATTTGAAATCTGTTAACAACAGTCATCCAGTGTAGGATACGTTCTTGTTCATTAGTGAATCTGTTTTGCTGCAGTTCTGTTGGTATTCAGCTGTTTCGCTCTGCTGTTAGAAGTAATTCCTGTGTGTGTAATATACAATTTCTGTGCATTCTCTCTCTCTCTTCCTCTTCTACTATTTTCAACAAGCGATGCAATTTCTGTGCTCTTTTCATCTAGGCTCCTAAGCCAACTCTTCAGGATGAACTGGAATGGTGCATTTCTCAGCTGGAGACTGGCCTCTTACGTCTCAACCCAACTCCAAAACAAGGTGTGCTGCCTTTGTCTTTCCCCTTCAATGTATCTGGTATAACCCTCAATTCTCACCGAGTCACCTTCCTAATACAGCCTCTCTTCCAGGAAAATCTGTGTTTTGGCTAGCCTTTCTGGCCAGTATCATCTGGAGGGTTTTCCCTTCCCCAGTAGTGTAGGGTTCCTGACCTCCTATTACTTTTCTGAACCACAGCACAAGGTCAGGAGAAAATCTTCTGTGTGCCTTTCTCCAGCTGTATGTTTGGAACTGCGGAATGGAGGGAGAAAATGAGGCTCTGCTCTCCTCCCCCCTCCAATTCTCCACTCCCCACAGTGCTTTTCGTGAATATTGTTTAAAGGGAACTTGAGCTCAGATCCCAGTATGCTCTTATGCTTTGCTTGGGGGCAAGTTATTATCTCAAAGGCTCTGTTTCCTATCTGCTAAATGAGACTAATATGGACCTACCTCCTCAGGTTACTGTGAGGTAGACCAAGAAGAGGATTGCGAAGTATTTTGTATAGCAGAAGCCTTGTAAAAATTCAGCGTGCCAAAGGAACGGCATGACTTAATGAGTATTATTGCCTTTTCATTGTATTTTCTTCCAATTCTCGAGAGCAGCTGAGGAGACACAGCGGATCCTCAGGGTTCTGCGGTCACGCAAGACATCTCTTGGGAAAAAGCGCCAGGTGATGCACCATGTCTTTGGGGACTACCGGCTCAAGATGGCAGAGGAGAGGAAGAGAGCTGCAAACCCAGGTGGGGTACCCTGTGACATTGCCATCGATGCCACTTCCTCAGAGCGGAAGGAGCCTCTGTCTCCTGCTATGATTGAACTCAGGATCAAACAGCGAAATTGACATTGGCAAGACATTCCGCGCACACACAAAGACAGGCATTGTTAATTGTCTCATTTTTCAGGTTTATTATTAGAGCTGCTCTCGTATGTTATGACAAAGAATGGCTTTTGTTCCGATGTTTCTTGGTTTTGTGCTGCTTTGACTGACTGACTCCCTAGAATAGCATGAGCAAACCATGAGGAAGTGCCTCCTTGCAAAAGAACTTACGTGCAAAATATCTTCAGTGGTTCACCTCCCACTGTAAGCAGCAGCCACAGTGACTTTTATAATTCTAGAGCAGGTGTGCAACACCTCTTTCACCCAAAGGCCAAATTACAGCTCAGGAAGGCTTTTGAGGGTCACATTCCAATGGAGGGTGGAGTTAAAATGTCCAAAACCTCAGCGCTAAATGGAAATGCTGCTCTTTCCCTTTAGGGATGAGACCTGAGATGGTACAGATACAACCCGAAGATAATCTCACTTCAGGCAGCGTGGTGTACAGAAGGCGATCTAGCCACCCTTCCACAGCAGCAGCTGCATCTTGGTTTGTGCCGTCAGATAATAACTTTCAGTTTGGCTTTGCTCTTCCTGAAATGGCCTCGGAAGATACCCACCATGGGACCACAGCAGAAGCCCATGAGTTCGATGATTCCAAAGAACAGCCCGTTGGAAATGGTCTATCTGAGACACTTAATTTTTCCACTGGAACACAGAGCCCCAAATTTGCTTTCAACTTTGTCATCCCAGATGATTCCCCAGAAATGGGAGCAGCTGCAGAGGCTGGCTGCTCATCCCAAGAAGCCACAGTGCCACTGGAGAGAGCAGATTTACTGAGACCTGACAGGCCACCTGTGATGAACAGTGCAGGCGGAAGAGATGAAGAATGCTCTGCACAAGCGATGCCTAAATTGGAGACTCCCCAAGTAGGTATGGAGGCCGTGTTGCTCGTTTTCATTCAGTCCTGGCGGTAGAATGAGCCAGTTCAGCGAAGGCAAATTGAGAACTGATGCAGACAAAGTGGCTGGCAAAGGGAACAGGAAGCAGTTTTGTAAACTACAAAGGATTCCTGTAGGGAAGTTTAGCTAGGTAAACACATAGGCTAAACATGGGTCGTTTTGTGGGTGGGGATTGGACATATTTTAACAGGCTGGCCTCAAATATAACTGGCTAATTGTATTCTAACTAGCTAAATTCCCATTGAAAAACACCTTTATTTTGCCTTTAGGATGGGGACTTTTGTTTCTGTTACTTAGCATTTGATAATGCTTTCATTGCAGCAACAATTATATGGAATAAAAATGCCAAGGGTTTTTTTTGCTTTGCTTGTAGCGCCATTTTTATACATAAAATATACCCAAACTAATTTTCATAGAATGAGCTTCCATCATTAAAAGGAAGGGATTTAAATAAATTTATTTAATTGGTCTGCAGCCTTAACAGGGAGTGAGGAGACACCGTTGACAGTGACACCAGGTGGTTCCTCCAAAAGGAGAAAGAAAAAGAAACAGAAACAGCCACCCTCAAGTGTAGCACGCTGTGATGATGTGAATGGAGCCAGCCAGCCCCATAGCAAAAGTACAGCTAATCAAGCTGAGGGACGTCAGGTATGTAAAGGGGAAGAAAAATCCATATACACAGTTCCAGACATGGGCTGTGAGTAGCTCTGGTTGGTGGCAGCGTGAGAATCAGCGAGGCGGATCAGACCACTGAGCACATGCTCCTTGCATGCCCCGTTCGTGTTGCAAAGGGTTAAGGGCAGAAGCCTGCAGTGGTCTGAATTCTTGTTCAAGGTTTTCATGAAGCTTTGGGGTTCCCTTTTTTTTTTTTATTTAAGTTGGGGCAAATCTGGGCAAGTTGCAGCCAGTCCCAAGCACACTTGTGTGATGACTGTTTCCACACACATACTTAAAGAAACCCTTTTCAGTGCTGTCTTCTGCCCAGGAGCAAGTTCCTCAGAGAGCCTCAATTAGGTTTGCTCCCAGGTAAGAAGCAGCAGCTCTGAAATGTACCTGTAGAAAGGTGATCTGTGGAGTGGTTCTCAGGGAGCAATGCGTGCAAAGGGACAGACTGAGTGAATGAGCCAGACTCGAGTAGAATCAGGTTGTCAAGGCCACGCCTTCCCTTCTCTCCCTTTGCACCTCTTGAAACAGAAATTTAGTATTTCAGGTACAGAGGGCGGCTGTGAGAGAGGATGCCATTTTGGTGGTCACCGCCAGTGGCTGAGCACTGTTCCTAGAGAGATTCTCCATTCTCATATATTAATAACTTTCAGGTGTCCTTTTAATTCTTTTAGGCTTTCAAACATTATTAGGATATCTTTTCAAGCTTATTCTTAATAACTTTTGAAGATTAGCATTAATATCACTGGTCCGTAGTTCTGTTAGCTGTTGGTTATTTTTAGCCCCTGAGAGGTTGCTTTAGCACTCCTTATTTGAAAAGGTCATTTATTAAGGCCGGCATTGCACGTTTTTAATCTCTTTGCTGGTTGTGGATGTGTTAATGTTTGTCTGTACCATTGGCATTAGCTTTTATTTTTGTGTTTCACTTAAAATTGCTTCATTAGAACTGTCTTAGAAAGTGACTAAGAAATGAACAAATGACAATGAGAAGGAAACAAGTTGCTTCAAGTCCAGGTTCTCTTAACCAGCTTCTTTCCACCGTATTGTTATTTTCACACATACCCTGCCTCTCTACTTTTCATGTAACAGTCAGAAGAACAGACAAGGAGGGAGGTGGACTGGTGTGTGGAACAGCTGGAACTGGGCCTGAAGACTCAGAAGTCAACTCCCAAGCAGAGTGAGCCAATTTGCTTTGGCAGATTGGGGGGGGGGGAGTGGGGAGGGGGGCTGGAGTATTCTGTATGCCAAGGCAGTGCACCTCAGTTAGCAGCTGCAGAATTTCACTCTTCAAAGCCGCCCCTTCTCCATCCCTGATACTTTGGAGAGCGGCAAGCAAAGACAGACCCCAGAGGCTGCTGCCGTTCCTCAGTTTCAGGGTTGCAGATGTTGTGGCCCTCCAGATCTTGACCTACAACTCCCATCTTCCTGGGCCACAAGCCATACTGGCTGGTACTGTTGCGAGTTGTAGTCCTGTGAGGTCTGGAGTGCTACAGTCCCTCATTCAGTGCTTATCCAGCGGAGCGGTAGAAGAAGAAAGCCCAGAGATGCTTTTGTGAGCTTCCTGTCTTTTCCCGTATTCCTCTGTGTGCCATCCTTCCCCTGCCCCTCACACACCAGGTGCAGTCACAACAGTTTTGCCCAGTCTGGGGCCTTCTAGCAGTTTTGGACTCCCATCAGCCCCTGCCAGCATGTTCAGTGGGCAGGAGTGTTGGGGTGGCTGCTTCATGGGCACAGGGGGAGTTCTTGGGGAATCATTTTTTCCCCATTGCCATAGAAGTGAACGTTTAAAAACATGCTTCTTAAGGACTGTTAGGTTGCCTTGCAGGAGAGTATCCTCCCAGGGAGACTTACAGGCGTCTGACAGAGGAATGGTGCTATTTCCCAGTGGAGGGGTGCAAACAGGAGGCTCCCACGGGATCTCTACTGGGGCCAGTGCTCTGCAACTCATGCACAAAAGATCTGGAATCAGGAATGGGCAGGAAAAAGGGCAGGTTTGCAGATGACCCCAAATTATTTAAGGCAGGTAAAATGAAAAGGGATCGTGAGGCACTCCAAAATGGTTTCTTCAGACTGGAAGAACAGGCATCAAATTAGCAATTACGGTTCATTGTAAATGAATGTAAAGTAACACTTGGAGGGGCAGTGGCAGGCCAACAAACCGCACTTGGCAGGAAAAGAGCTCTTGGGATTAAAAGCACATTTCAATAATAAGATTCCATATGAAACACCCACAACCAACAAAATAAGCAAATTTTGGTTTTGCTTCCTTTTGTTCTGGCAGGGAGAGGGCTAGTTTTAGGGTTTTTACCTGCCTGTGCTGAAGAGGAATGTGGCAGGCTCATAGTCCTTGATTATCCCAGCCTTGCAAATATTTTGGACTATAACTTCTTATCTCCAGCCCAGATGGCCAGCTTATTCTCCAAATGACGGTATGACAATAATTGTCAAGCGTATTCTACTCTTCCTCCTCCTGTAACCAAAACGACACCATCCGTGTGCAAGGGAGGAGGTATCAGCAGGTCCAGGGAGCCTGCAGTTGCGGAACTACACAAAAATAGCAGCAGGGGGACCTAGTACAGGCAAAGCGTGGTTGTGCGTGTTCTCTGGGCAAGAATTTTGCAGCAGGAAGGGAGTGGGAAAATGAGACTGCTCTAGCCTGTAACATTTTGTTGCGGTTCTGCTCAAATAATGCCAGCGACATCCTTTCTTCTGTTTCAGTGGAAGAAGCCCGCCGGGCCCTCAGGACACTGCGCAGCGAGAAGGCGGTGCTGGCAAAGAAGCGCCAGCTGATGCGGGCCCTGTTTGGCGACTACAGAACCAAGATGGCAGAGGAAAGGCAGAAGCAGCTGAAGTCCATGCTAGCAGGTAGGGATGGTAACCTCACTCCTGAGGACCAGGATAAGCCTTTGGAAATAGCTTGAGGCTGCCGCAGCTTGTCTTAGCTGCCATCCAGCCACAGCTGCTCCATCTGGCTGCCGCAGAGGGAGAGGTGGGGAGCGCAGGGCCAAGCCGTCAGTCCCACTGAGCTTGCCTCCTCCCTCTTCTTATCCAAGCTGGTCATTATATCTGCCCAGTAACACTTGTTTGCTTTCCCCCCCATTTGTTTCCCTGTCCCTTTTTCTTTGTGTGTCCTGACTTTCAGTGACCCTTTAGGCACTGAGTGTCTTATTTATTACCGATCTTGCATAAGCTGCTCGGGCAGGGCTTTTTAGCTGAAATGGGGGGGAAAACTGGCCAGTGTGAGTGACAGACATACGGCGGCTCTGCGCCTCTTCAGCTTTCGGCAATCTTAATAGGACAGCCCTTTGCCTACCCATTCGGAATTGCTCACATTCCTCTGTTCTTGCTGTTCCTCCCCCACCTCAGCTTCCAAAGCCGCTTGCATCACAGAAGTAACTGAGGATGCCCACAAGAAGAAGAGCCAGGTTTTCCGGAAGTCTGCGAAAATGGCCGGAAGAGCCCAGAGCTCCGCTGAACCCTTTCTTTGCCCGTCTGTCACCTCAGCTTGTCCTAGGGCAGCTCACACTTGCTCTTCGGTGTTTGCACCTTCTCAAGAAGAGTTTCACTTTAATTTCTTCTAAGGAAGCCTGCTGGACATGTGTGGATTGAATTTTGAGTTGCCGCTAAAAACATGGTGGATGCTTTCTTTGGAAACAAGGAGCCTCCAATCCCCCGCACCTCACTCCAAAAACTGAATTGCAGTGTGGCCTGCAAAAAGAAAAGCAGTGTGGTTGAATAGTGGAAAAATTCTACCCAAGTGCCTTGTGGGGGTGACTGGAGATAAAGATGGTATGATGTAAAGAGTGACTGAACAGATCAAAGAATTTTCTACTTGAGTCAAATATAAAATAAATGGGTTTCCAGAACCTGCCTGTTTCATTCTTTGTTTGAAATCTGTTTTAAGGTGCTCTTAACTGTGTCATTCAAATTGAGCAGGAAGAAGTTGAGACAGGCAGTGTTTCTGGGCTAAAATAATGATGCTGGATACCTCTTGAATGTGATTGCTTTAATCTCTGCCTGCCTTGATCCCTGGATGCTACAGAAAGTAGTGTGCTCTTCTTTTTAAGACAGAGATCCCCGTGAGCGCTTGCTGGAGGGTCAGATTTGTTAAGCTGCGTTGGATGTAACGTCTGATTCTGCAGGCTGTCAAGTGCCACTGACTCAGATCCATGCCCTGCTGCACCTGGTGGGACTTCAGTTTAAGCAATGAGCAGATTAAGGCTGCAATCCAAAGCTTTCTTGCTCCAGAGTAAGTCCTGCTAAAGTTCAGAGTTCTTCTATTAGTGCTTAAGATTACATTGTATAATTGTGTGTGGTCTGGGCAGATGACCATTTCAGGAAAAGGTAGGGAAAACATCAGGGTTGCTAATCTCGCAAGTGGCTACTGAAATTGTGCTTTTTAGCAGCCACGGCTCCATGTCCAGGCAATAGCCAAGTACAGTAGTACCTTGGTTCACAAACTTAATCCGTTCCAGGACTCTGGTCATGATCCAAATTGGTCGTGAGCCAAGTTAAATTACCCCATAAGGTTCAGTGTAAATAAGGTTAATCTGTTCTGTAACCATTTTTTTTTAATCAGAAAAATGCGAAGCAAAGTGACAAAGAACAAAGATCGCGGCCATCTCCCCCCCAACCTCCAGCACGAGTGCAGCCATGTCCCCGCCCCCCTCAAGCACGCGAGCGATTGAGCCCGTCATCCCAGCACGCATGAGGGGTGGGGAGAGACGGGCACAAACACGGGCGTGTTCGGGGGGAGACGGGCATGATTGTGCTGGGGGGCAGATGGGCAAGGTTGCGGTTGCACTCCTGCAGGAAAGATGGGCGTGATCTCGGCCATCTCCCCCCACCCTGCCCCCAGCATGATCACGGCCATCAACCCACTTGGGAGTGGGGAGATGGCCCTGATCGCAGTCGCCAGCCAATGCAGAGTTCGTGACCTGAGTCAAAATTTGTATGAGATTTCTGCTCACAACCCAATTTGGTTGTGAACTGAGGCGTTCTGAGCCGAGGTACCACTGTATATCACCTGGCCATGGAAATCTCCAGCAACTGATCACGTTTCTGTTAAAGGCATTTGAACAAGCCAGTTCAGGTCAGCTGGCAACCCTAAAATGTGCACTCTCTGTAGATTCCCAAATAACAATAGAAGGAACAAGAGGCCCCACCGACCGTGTAAGTGATTATCTTGGTTAATAAATGAATGCCCTGCAGCAATCCTTTTAACATTTTTCCAACTAAAAAGCAACTGTCTTTTCCCAGATTCCCAAGATTATCTGATCAAGCTCTCATTCATTATCCTGAAAGGTCACTCTGCAGAGTTCTGCCTATTTCAGCAGGTCGTTCTACATCTTAGTCTTAGTGAAATCAATAAGAGGAGACCATATTGCATTAAAAGTATCAATTTATACTTGGCCTCTGTACCTGAAGATGTTCGGTGCTTTTTGCTGTCAGTGCAAGGTCCCAAACTTTCAGTTTCCATGTGATAAGGAGAAGTTCAGTTGCTGATTTCCAGTTGGCAGCTATGGCTGTCCTGGCTGTTGTCCAGGAAAAAGTCATGAGTCCTTTATGTCTCATTTGTATATTGGAGTCCATATAAAGAATCCCACTGCAGTCTTCTTATGCTCAAGATCCCTTCCGTTCTGGAGCAGTTGTTTCTTTTTTCAACCATATGTGGAGAAACGGTTTAAACATCAAGCTGTTTCCAAGCATAGTATATGTATGTTTCAAAATTAGCCTGCATCACAGAATCAGTTTGAGTTCATAAATGTTGTAGGAAACTTCATTATTTTGATGGGCAAGAAGATGATTCTGCACCAGGAACAAATTTTAAAAATGATGCCCTGTTCACCCAGCAAGTGGAGGGCTGTGAAACACATGAGACAGCTGGTACCTGGGCCCAGCCTGTTCCGCTTTAAGCACTGGCATTCCCCACTGTAACAAAAACCTCTTGGCAGGGCTTATGAAATGCATTCTAAGTTGGTTCAGACCTTGCTTGGAAGGTACGGGGGGGGGGGGGGCGGGGAACAGCCATGCCTTTTGCATTCAGTTTCTGGCTCGCTAGTTCCATATTGCCCCGTTGGCTCAAGTCCTGCAAATTGATGAAGTGTATCCCAATCCCTCTTCCAGGATTGGTTGAAGATGTGGGTGGACGGATGACTTAATTGGTCCCTTTTCTGTTCACCTATATATGGAGTAGGCAGTGGGTGGATCTGAAAGTAGGGGTGTGTGCGCACAGATTTGAGGGAGAATTTAGCCAGGAAAGCTGGACTTGAATTGCTCTGCAAAGTCAACTCCTGCGAAGGGCTAACATCCAACTCTCAGGAGCATCAAGCACCCATCCAGGCGGACCACTCTGGACCATTCAAGAGAAAAATTAAGTCCTTTATGTTTTGTAACTATTAGTTTTGATTATCAGCTGGGAGGGGAGTTTTCTTGACTAATAATTTTTAAAGGTTTTTCTTATTTTTATGTGTGGCTGTGAATTTTTTTAAAGAAAATATTTTAGAGCAAGCAATTAGCAGCTGCCTGAAGTAATCTAAACTCCATTAGGATATTTCAGGTATGGTCACTGATATAAAATGTGAAAATATTTTAAGAATTTTAAAGAGCCAAATGGACACGGATGATTGTGAATACCAATCTGAATTTTACTAACATTTTGGCAGCAAAAATCACTGATATTCAGAAAGAACACCTGGAGGAATAACACCAGTCAAGCAAGCATTTTATTGTCTTCTTTTTTCAGCCACCTTGAGCACTATTCTGAGAGGAAAGGCAGGATAGAAATTTAATATATAAGCAACAGTGAGAAAGAACTGGATTTATGACGATATGGAAACAAGAGAACTCTTTTAATTCTGTACCAAAACCTCTATTCAGGAACAAAAGCTATAGTTTATCGTTTTTATCCATATGCACAAAGAACAATTTGCTTTTGTTTTTAAGTTCTAACTTGAGTTACCAGGCTAAACTGATTTATTAGCGCTCCCTGTTGAAGTAAGTTCTTCCCTTTATCTGGACCCTGAAAACTAACATTTTGGACACCCGAAACGTTGGCTGTGACCAACACTGCCTCTGGTCTACTGTGACAACATCAAAAGTACCCACTGTCCGTGGTTCTTGTAAGTGCTGGCATGGAGGAAGTGTGGGTTGTCTATCTGTGCATGATCCTCTTCGTCATCGTCATTATTTTGATGAAGCAAAAGCCAGCTGACGAAGTCAGGCGAGAGAAAGCGGATCAGAGCCAGCCAGCTCCAGCTACTTCTTTCACCGGCAGTTTGGGGAAACGCCTGGAGTATACCGAGGAAGAACTGGAGAAATCGCTGCATCGACTCTCTGGTATCTTGTTCGGTGGTGATGCACGGAAGAGGGAGCCTCATGCAGAGCACCAAGCTGCTCAGCATCACAGCAGGACTCAGGTAGTGCTCGGTTGGGCTGGGTGGGAGTTGGGCTTATGGGATCTATCAGGGGTGGGGGGTTACTAGCATGGCCCCTTCAGTGTTGAGCGAGCAGAGCCAGATGCAAAAGGGAAGCTCAAGAGATGGAGTGGATGGGAAGGGGGTGTAACTCCGAGGTAGGGCACCTGCTGTGCATACAGAGGGTCCCAGGTATGGTCCCTGGTATCAGGATTGATTGGCGAAAGTGCTGCAAAGCCTGGAGAGGTGCTGCCAGTCAGTGCCCAGAAGCCTGGCCTAGCTGGACCATGGGCCAGACTCGGCAGGAGGCCAGCTTCCCATGTTTCGTATTGTTCCACACCCTCTGTGAATCATACATCTGAGATAAAACTGAGTACACATTCTGCAACTGAGCTGCTACAGATCAGGAATTTGAAAACAAAATTCTGAAACAGGCCAAGAGAACCGCACATGACCCTGGCCAAAAGCAAACAGTGAACATTCCCATTTTACAGGTGGGGCTGTGAGAAGGGAAGTGAAAAAGAAGTCTGGCCATTTTGTTACCTGATGTGTAACACGCTCTTGTTAAAATATCGGCAACTGGAAAGACTTCACCTTCCAGTACCAGAAGGTACGTCGCCTTCTCCCCGCCTGCCAATCCCTGCTGCACGATAGCCCCAAAAGTATTTGAGACTCAGCACAAGGCAGAGCCCGTTGGGTGTAACACTGCGCTGCTGAAATGGATACGCAGGCTGGAGAGAATGCATGCAGCCCCGGTATCTGTTTCAGAGTGGCCTGGTAAATCAACCAGCAGACACAGAGGAGGCACAGGGCAAAACTGATAGGCCCTGAAAACTGACGTAGGGAACAGTTCCATGTGTGCTTGGATGGGACGGCCCGCAACTCGCAGCGGGCTGGCTGGGCAGTGCTGGGAGCTGTGGGACATTTTTCTATCTAAGCTTGCAGAGGACTGTGCCCTTGACCACTCTGTCTGTGCAAGCAGCAGGACTGAGGGCTTGGGTAGCACGCAGACGTGTGTGGCCGTCTGAAAAGCAGGAATGGCTGGGAACCGCTCCTGCGTTGCATTCGCCCGTACAATCAAAGAGAAGCTTCCTGCACCTTGGCAGGGGCACCGATGTATACCCCTGATCCCACTGACACCGCCTCATACTTTCTAAACCTTGTGCAAATTCAAGATGTGGAATTTACCTACAGGGTACAGAATACTGTGCGTATGACTGTACAAAATGGTCTGTTGTGTGTGTGTGTGTGGGGGGGCAGCTCGCTCTTGAAGGCCGCATGTTCAGAGCCGTAAGTAGGAGGAGTCTGCAGGGGCCCTGAGGGTGTGAGGGCTTCAAACTGGAGAGCGTGGGGGTTCCTATGCCAGTGGGTCTCCTTATTTGTTTATTTAAAACATTTCTATGCCACCCCCATCGCAACAAAGCCTTGGGGCGGCTCACTATATGTGTGTGTGTGTGTGTGTGTGTGTGTGTGTGTGTGTATATATATATATAGTTTTGTTATATATATATAACAAAATAAATAAAAAATGTTATATATATATATATATATATATAATAAAAAAAAATAAAAACATTTAACCCCCCCTTATCCATTGCAGCATTTGTTCTGAGTTGTGCTTGCTGCCCCATGGTAGCAAATGTAGTTTGGGGGTGGCATTCAGCACAAGGGATATAAAGCTCAGAATAAAAGCCGCAGTGGCTGAGAAGCCTCACAGACACAGCAGTCCCTGGCTTCTGCTGGTTGCAGGTTCTACCTAGGAATAACTGTAGGGCTCTTGAGATGAAGAAACAAAAGGTGGGCTGATTTGCCCATCGAAACAGCAATTATAGAGTTGCTCAGCTCATGATTGTGCAGAGTAGTTGTTGGATTAACTTGCATTCCCAAGTTCACACTTCACTAAACAACTCAGGAATGGGTGTCCTTTAGTGGCTAATGAAAAGCAGAAACAAGCAGCTTGCACGATTCCAGTTTAAAGAATCCAAGAACAACTGTCATGATCACTAACTGGGTCAGAGCTTGATTACCAAGGATCCTGTGCAATTTGCCTGAGGACAGAGACAGTCCTAAGAACAGCTGTGTCTTCTATTCCCCCAAAAGCCATGGCTGGCGTAACTTCATCCAGGACAGCATTTCCCGCCCTTTCAGTTGTCCGAAGAAACTTATTGCCAATTAGGGATTACAAAAGATTTCAGGTTGTGATTCCAGGCCTCCAGGTAGCAAAAGCCTTTGTACAACCCCCCTGCTAATACTCGGATTCAACAGTGCAATTTTACACATGTCTTCCTAGATGTAAGTCACACTGAGTGACTTACTCAAGAGAATTCCTTCCAGGTTAAGTATGTAATGCAGACTCCCATCTGGCTCTGAATGATATGAAGAGGCTTTGGGGTTGGTTAGTATATAGAACTGCAGCCTAAAGAAAAGTGTAATTTACTGAGGAATTCAAAACATGAAGTGGTACCAAAAAAAAAAGTACCATGACTGTCAAAAGAAAAAAAATTCTTTGTTTAATCTTTTTGACCAAATTAGCACATTATCAAAACCTTGGTAACATCTCATTTATGGACACTGAGGAAAGTTTGCTTCCAGGTGAAAGACTCTGACCGCTGCCCATGAGAATAGAGCTATCCCCTCTTCTCTTCTTTCATGGAATTTCTGCACTAAAAGAAAAGATGGAAGAAGTGATGAGAAAACACTGGAGGTTACAAGTAGGAGACAACAAAATTCACTGGATAAAGCAGAGCCGTTGCATGATAAGAGCTTCATCTGGAAACCTGCTTCCTCTATTGCCTATATGGTAGTCTATGGCTTAATAAATGAGTCATTATTTGAGCTAAAAGAAAATGCCACCATAGATTGGAAAATGGTACTGGTTTCATCTGAAAAGTAAAGTCTATGCTAGCTTGGAACATACAGGAAATAACCTTTTTAAGTCTGTAATTTTATGCATTTGGGTCAAACACCAAGAGTTTCTGCTGAATATATATGCATAGGATTGCACTGGAAGTCTCTTTTTAACTAGCAGTGATAATGGTGCTATCTTACATTGTCTATTCTGAAGAAAGCTCCTCTGATTTCTGTAGGATTTACTGCCAGGCAAGTATGTATAGCATTGTAGCCTGAGCTGTTAGCCAGGAAGATACAGATTCAAATGTCTCCACCTTACCTGGAGTCTCCCTTACAGGGATTTATTTATTTACTATTTATTTATTAAAAGCTTTTGTATGCCATCCTATTATACAAGATCTCAGGACGGCTTACAATATTTAAAAGAACAAAACAACAATTTCAATAAATAATAGAACAGAACAAAACAATAAATCACAAAACAAACAGAGCAACTGAAGAAAAAAAGTTGTTAAATTTTAAAATACTGTTTAAATAAAAAGGTTTTGGCCTGGCACTGAAAAGAGTATAAACTTGGCACCAGGCATACCTCTCTGGGAAGTACATTCCAGAGTCTGGGCATCACAGCAGAGAAGGCCCTACTCCGAGTTGATGACCTTTTTACCTCTCTTAGAGAGGGTTCCCGGAGCAGGGCTTCTCCCATAGATCTTTAGGGATGTTTTATTTATTTTGCTATTGTCATTTTAATATACCTGCTCTGTTGCAAACCACTTCAAACACATTCTGTCCATCAATGCCAAGATCCCTGAAATTTGGCATGCATATTAACTGATCATGCATCATGGGGTGACTTTAGTACCCCAAGAACAAATTCTGTATTGTAATTTACATATTAATAGACTTACCAGCTTGTACTTTTATGCCATTATCACAAAGTGCCTGGTTTAAAAGGCCCCCAAATTTCAGCTTCCTATCTTTTATGGGCTGAGAAGAGAAGAGGGAAAATCTGAGGTGACAAAAATCACCTCAGAAGCTCCATAGAAATAAGTAGCAGGGTGACTTCCTGACCCCCAACAAAGACCCTGAACAAAGGAACAAAGCAAAGTTCAATTTAGATAATCATAGTCTCGTTTTAAAGCTAAGATTCTGAGCTAAATAGAATGAAAATCCATTGAGGTAAAGCCACGCTCTGAGTTCAGTAGTAATCTAAACTGTTGTTAGGCAGACATAAGTCAACGGTTCTGCTATTTCATGCAAAGTTTCTCAGTCTGCGTAGCTGCAAGAAAAATTAAAACAAATTACCTATGCTTGCTGATAGCTGAAAGCCATGGCATTTGCTCACTGTGACCCCATAAGGGAAAATTCCAACCGCAACAAAGATTTGTAGGATAGTATATTTATATAGCCTCAGGTTTTAAAGGCGTCCCAGAAGTGACAGCTGTTGTGCGGGGTGAGAGACAATGTGAGTTAAGCGTTCTCTAGGGCTGTGCACCTCAGGATTATTTTGCTTTTTAAATTTAGAAATTCATTTTGTGTGTGGCTGGAGTTTGCAGTCACATTTCCTTTCACTAGAGGCAGATTTTCCTAATCAGCACATGGCTTTGTACTGGATAGCTGGTGCAGCCAGGAAGCCACAGGGACTTCAGTGCCCGGCCTGCTACCTCAGGGCAGCCTCTCCTTACGGAAGCAGAGTGCAGAGACTCGTCCCTTGGGGGTGGTAGAAATGCTCCACGGCAGGGGCTGTGCCAGCCGGCATGGCTTCGCAACCAGTCTGACCACAGCCTCTGTGCACACTTGCCTGGCAGCTTTTCTGTATGAAGCCCTGCAAAGCCAGGCCCGTTTGCAGCACCAGTGAATGGAGCCGGCACATTCTTCCGTGGCCTTCAGAAAACCGCTGGCTCCTGGTGCCTCTCCTGATCTGCAACATGTGTATGAAATCCTCTCTTTCCCCCAGCAGACACATCTCCTTATCGGGCTCTTTAAAGAATTTCTAAATGGATGACCCAGAGGACTTTCAAAACACATCTAAGTCAGGATGTGTTCATTTTTACAGTTTCTTGCCTAATCCAAGCCACCGAAGATATACATTTTTACTTTAAGAAATAGTAAAGGCTATATGCTTTGTCCAAGATGACACAGCAACTTCTGCTTGGATGGGTGGAGTACATCCCCTATTACTGTGGCCGTGTTCCTGTTACTGCTGGCTTGTTCTATTTATTTCCAGTAAAGTCTTGGGATGTTTTTCCCAATTACCAAACTTGTCAGATGGTACATTCTTACAGGGCAGAATGTTTACAGAGAAGGGACTCTTGCCAAAGAGGGAACTGCAGGGACGGAAAGTTAATCATTCCCTCTCTCTTGTCCCCCATAAAGTCTCACAAATCAGTGTTTTCTCCTAATCATTATCTCGGATGTCAGATGATAGATTTGTACAGGGAGAAGGTAGGGGTGGAGATCATTTTTCAGAGATGGAACTTTTGCCCAGAAGGGAACGGCAGGGACAGAATGCTAATCATATTTCCCATGTTCAGGCTCTAAGACCTTATTGCAGGAGGGCGTCAACCTTTGGAGTCCGAGCTCTGAAGTTAGTAGACAGTGATCAAGCTCCAAAAAATTCTTTGTCAGAGTGTGGGAATGCACCTTTAATGAGCTAATTCGGCATTTCGGCTTTCATTGAGAGAACAGCTGATCCCTCTCTGTATAGGACTGTAGCCGTACCCCCGTGAATTTGATGAGACTTATCTCTGAGCAGATTGGATCTGTTGCCCAGTTCTGGACAGCCAGAAGATGTATGTAAGTCTCAGGCATCTGAATGCAGAAGATGGAAGGGCTTCTGTGCTTTTAATAGTTATGTAGGAAGGAGAATTTTGGCAGGTATCACATAGCATGCATGTGAAAGCCCTCCTGCATAACTATTAAAAGCACAGAAGCCCCATCACCCTCTGCATCTGGATACCCTCCTCTGGAGGGCCAGATCCTGCCCAGATTTCGGTAACTCTAGCCTGTGTTAAGTTTTCTCTTGCCTAATTGCCATTCCATGCCAACATTCTCCCAAGGGCAGTTGTCAGAGCTGTAATTTATGCTTTTTCCTGGCTACACTGAAGATCTGCTAAATTCTCAATTTCCCTGGAAGAATTCATACTGTACTATATGGGGAGAGAGAGCAGGGTGTATGGAAGGGGCACCTCATTCTGTGCAGCATTACATTTCAGTTAACCTTCTGCAGGAATGAGAAACTAACCTGTTGCAATCGAATGTGATATTTGACATGGCACTCTGTAGATGCCTTTGGAAGCCTTGGATCAAAATAGGTCAAGCTATGCACTTGGCACCTGGACAGCTTCTAGAAGAAGTAGCTTGCCATCTGCTCGTATTTTTCCTTTCTTTTTTAAAGTCAGCCAGGGCTTCTGGTAGAGGGGATCACAGTCTGATGAGGCAGTGGCTCAGGTCAGGCTGCCCACACGAAGCCAATTTCAAAGGAAGTGAAACAATGGTTTTGCACCATGCCTGAATCTGAGTCAAACTGGAAACTGCAATTATCAGTGGATTTGTAAGCAGTGATTTGTGCTAAGTACAGTTCCGCATAATATCTGAATTGACAGAGCACGCTTCTGGCTATGGCTCCTTCCCCAGAGGGGGCTGCAGTGTGAGTGGGAATGGAATCTACAAAGCTGGCTGCTGATACGAGAGATAGAAATACTTTCCAGGGATCCTGAGGCAGAGAAATATTTTCCTCATGGCTAGCATTGGCAAGAAAGGGTGGTTTTTATGGGATCTTGGAGGAAAAGAGCAGTGTTTTCAGGGTCAGGGCAACTGGCAGCGTGACATTTGGGGGCGGGGTGTGTCAGAACACCCTTGGGGATGCAGTCAAGGGCATGAAGGGCCCCATGTTGTGCAATTCACTTGGGTTGCACATTTTTTCCCCTGGCTTTGAACCCTGATTAGACCAAATCCTGTTTTGGGATCAACTGCTAAGACGCAGCTACACTGAGCAGCGCATTGTCCAGGATGGAGGTCTTAACGAGTTCCTAAAGCATCACCGCAGTGGGAGGAAGGGCAAGCTCCAGTACAGCTTTACTGCTGGGTGGCCTGGTGCTCTGCAGGGCTTTTCCCTCCATGGCTACTAGTCCAGATAGCCCAGTGCTCCCTCCAGGATCAGAGACAGCAGCTGAGTTCCCAAGTCACAACAGGCATAGTTTCCATGCTACGTGGTTTTGCCTGGGTGTGCCCAACAGGAAAATGGTTCCCACATGAGCATGGTTCCCACTGCCCTCACTCAGCCCTCCTGCTGTTGACATGCATCCCATCAGCCACCGTGCCTGAAATCCACTCCCACACTAGAAGGCTGGAGCGGCTCCTGCGGCAGCTGCCACTCTTTCCGGGGGACTCCGCAGCAGCATTCTGGAGCTACAGGGATTCGGAGGAGCCATGGTGAAGTGTGCAAGCACTTGCTGTACCAGTGAAGTAGAGGCCTCTCCAGCCCTCCTCAGATGTTCTGCACATGATTCCTGATAGCTGTGTCATTTGCTGGGCCAATTCTCCTTTCAGTAAGGTGGCATCCTCCCGGTACAACAGCTTGAGAAGAGTAGAGGGCGCCATTCTAGGGCAGGCTGCTCTGGATTGTGGTTGCGGTGGTGTGGGAAAGGCACCAGACCCCCAGGGCACAAAGGAAACCTGGGAAAAGGAGGTCTTGCCATTTTCAGAAACCTCTTTCTGAAAAATGCACCTTTGGGGATGGTTCACGTTGGAATGCTATTTCTGTGGCTAATCCCATTGCCAGTGAAGCCAGAAAGTAACATCTCTAGGTGACTGCTCTCTCTCCCCCCCCCCCCCATTTTTTTTCAAAACAGGAGAAAGCGTAGCAGCCTTCCAGGCATGACAATCTTTTCGCTGAGATGGGTGAGTTTAAATGCTCATTGATTGCTGTATTGCCTTGCTTGATCAGAGATTTGGGGATCAACCCTATGCATGTTTAGGCAGAAAAAGTCCCAGAACTCCCGGCTTGCCCCCAGCCAGCTATACTTCCTGAAGAATCCTGGGAGTTGTAGGGTGTTTTGCTTTTTTCCCATTGAAACATATTCATTGACCTGTTGTCTCTGTTTAGGGTCAGTTTCATTCATTTAGGGCAGCCTTTCCCAACCTGGTGGCCTTCAGAGGCATTTAGGCGGCAACCCCCAGTGTTCCCATCCAGCAGGGCCATTGACTGGGAATTCTGGGCGTTGCAGTCCAAACGTATCTGGAAGGCACAAGGCTGGGGAAAGCTGATTTAGGGCATAACAAATCCATGTTCCCAAACCTCCAGAAGTGCTGGGCAACAGCTTCCAGCAGGCCTCAGCTAGCTATGCAAGTTACTGCCCTGTTTGGTGGGCATGAGGCTGTTGCTGTTTCCCCAAGCCTGTGGTGCCAATCGCATTCCTTTCTGTAGCCTTGGACTCAAAGCCAGTGCTCTCCAAGTAGTGATCTGGGAACAAAATTACTTGGGAAGCTCTAATGAGCACTGATCGTTCCATAGCAAAGAGAAAGAGTTTCCTAAAGCCAAGGAACATTCAGGCTAACCAGGGCCTTTTCCCGTCTTAACATGCAAAGGACTACACCTTTAATTAATCCATTTGCACAAATCATGGATTGCATCCAGCTTTAGTCATAATTGCAAAGTCATGGCTAATGTGTCTGCTCCAAATCAATTAAATCTAGGTCCACAGCGAGGACCCCAGAGGGTGACAGGCTCCCGATGGGTCACAGCCCATAGGCAGCTGCTGTGCATCTGCACATTCAGCTCATCGGGGCGTCACTGGTCGGCTCCTGGGACTGCTGGCCACCGCTAATGGTCAAAGCTAAATTGGTGCAATCGCATATGAATGCGTCGTGCATGGAGGCTATTATGAAGCAGCGCCAGATTCTGCTGTTTTGAGAAGAAGCCTGTACCTGGTGGAGGACTAGGAGTGTTTGGTCTGGGAGAAGCCCAACAGCAGGGGGCTGGACCCAGTGGCCCAACTCTGCTGTTCTACAAAGAGCAGAAAATCAGGTCCCAGAGCTTAAATAAAGACAAATGCTGATTCTAAGGCGCAAGTGGATCAGAAGAAGGCTGTTAGAGGAGACCAAGGCCAGGCTTGTCACAGCAGCCTCCTGGAGGCCTCTGGGAAGTCCAGAAGGAGGCCTCAAGATGGCCAGCCAGTGGCATTTTATGGTCTACACCTCTTGAACATGGGGCCTTCCATGGAGCTGGCACTGATCAGTAGATCTGAGAGGAGAGGATTTGGCAGGCCACATGTCCTGTTTCGCAGAGGATCATTCTCTACAGGAAGGCACCCTCTTTCTAAAGACCTGCCCAGGCCAAGTACGGTGCCAGGCTCAAGAACTGCAAGGAGGGAGAGCCCAGGGCCTCCCAGTCGCCTACTGAGCTCCAGGATTGGGTGGAAACCGGTCCAGAGTCCAGAGGGTGGACGACGATACGAGCTCGCAAGGAGCACAAGTGTCCCTGGCCACTCAGCAGCTGCGCTTTCCGTGTGCCCGTTGCGTAGACGCAGCATCAGGCTCCTTCACAGTCATCAAGGGCGCCTTGCTCATTACGGTGGTTGGACAATCCTAGCCACCCTCTATTAAGCAGCTTTTAAGGGCAAAGCAGCAACATTCTTTTGAGGTCACTTTGCTTCCAGCCTTTTTTTGACCTGTGGATGGATATATTACTACACAGAGAGAGGCACAGACAGACAGCCACCCAGTGGTTCCTTGGCTAACTTTTGTTTTGCCTCTGCAGGACTGAAACAACAGACGAATTTTAGATCCAGCACGGTGAGCGTGTCCTCTTAGCTCTTACCTTCATTAGCTCTTCGATCGCCTTTCTGTGTCCACCGGACATGAAAGGGTCCCCCTGGACTTACCTTTTTTCTTCCCTTCTGATAAACAAGCAGCAGTGGCCTATATAGCCAAAGTCACTGAGAATTTGGGGTCCTGGCCCTGGGAAACAAGTCGCGGGGGGGGGGGGGGATGGCATTCCATATTTAATGTCCAAAGTCACACTACCTAATGCTAAAGGGACAACTCCTGTATGAACCTCTTTGGACCCCGAGTCACCTTTGGAAGCTCTCAAATGGGTACCCCCACCAAAGGATGTTGGGGAGTAGCTGCAACAGAGAAGTCCTTCTCAGTTGTGGCACACTGTTTATGGAATACTTTCTCCAAGGAGGCTCACCTGGCACTTACATTGTCACCTTGGTAACAGGCAAAGACATTAATTTTCTCCCAGACGTTTGGGAATGAAGGATTCCTGAATGCCTTATGTTTAGTCCCATGCTTGTTCCCTGCTCTGTACTGTATCTCCCTTTTTTAGCTTTTGTAAGGCCTCCTAGACTACATCTGTTGCTAAGATGAAAATGTCATAAACATAACTGAGCCACATGAATGCCCAGGTCTGCTGCTCCTCCACACTGGGTGAAATCATCCGACTCTGCAACTGTGGGACCACAAGAAGAACCCTGACGGCCACTTGTAGGCCAGTGAGCTTAACCTTTTCAAGTAGGACCCACTTTGATTCAAGTATTGCCTCCAAGGCCAGCTGGAGGCCAGCCACTTGCCTCTTGGGCTTCTTCCCGACCCCAGCTACTAGCCCGATAGCAGCCTAGCCCCATGTCCTTTGCTGCAAGGCAGATGCAATTAGAGTTGATTTAACTGCAATAATTGTTCGTCTGGGAATGGACCCACTTTCTCACTCCTGACCGGTGGTTCTGCATTTCTCTCCCACAGCTCCATTTCGCACTGTGGGCAACTGATGCTTGAAGCTTGTTGCATCTTTGCTGAAGGAAGAGATGTCCAAATACAAGAAAAACAGGAGGCGAACTCCCACTTTCCCTCTGGACCCCAAAGCTGCATGTTCGCCACAACTGTTAGGCTTTTAATGCGAGTTTTGTGAAAGGCAAATATTATTCTGTGTGAGGTCAAGTTAGCTGCACGCACTGCTCCTTGTATACATTTCCCCCTCTGTATTTATACAGCTGTAAGTACAAAATCCGGTATCACCTCTGCTCACAGCATCCCTTGGAAGTATTCCAAACATTGAGATTCTTGCTGTCTCCCTCAGATATTTCACAATTACTGGAAAATGGGTAGGGGTGGGCAGGAGGAAAGCCACAATCTTTAGAAGATGCTACTGAATTATGAAACCACTTTTTCCTGTCTGGGTCACTTTCCTCCTTGTTTAGCTTCTGCCTTTAAACTGCTCTGTTTTGTAAGAGTGCAGTCAAGTTCTCTGCTGGCCCCAAGCAACTCCTCAAAATTATTTCAGCAGCATTTCCTTCCTGCACCAATTAAACCCTTTGTAGCAAGCAAAGCGCTGTGTTTGATTGTTCTCTCGGTGCGGCCTGCTTGGGCACGGTGCTGTAGGAAGAGCTGCCGTCGCAGAGGCAAGTCACTGGCGGTCTGAGCAACTGGCATGAACTGGAAGGGTGGCCTGGGCAGAGGTGCCGAAACTCTCGTGAACTTCTGGACGGAGCCTGTAATGTCGGGGAAAAGGGAGGCTCCAGATCCTAGAGTGGCCAAATATCTTCTTTGCAGGGCAGTCCTCTAGCTGGAGGTGCACTCTGTTGGAAGAAATATCTGGGCCAAGCCTGGTTTCAAGTCAGATAATGACAAAGAAGGTCCGTGAGGCTGCCTAGGAGCAGTTAGTACCTGGGAAGTGGAATTAGCAGGTACACTGATCGCCTGGTCGGTCCTCCCCACTCTGGTGAGACATACTGTATTTACATGGATTGCTTCCACATTTGCACTGTACACACATATATATTTGCATACGCACATGTTACGCGAATCAGTATCTTTTTAGGTATTCAGCAGTGGCCACTGTATGGGACATCAGCACCCTTCCCCCAACTAGTATAGCCAATGGCAAGGGATGATGGGACTTGTTGTTTGGCAACATCTGGAGGACCACACATTCCCCATAACTTCTCTAATGGCTCAGGTGTGGTGTCTGGATTGTTCCCATACACGCCAAAGAGCAGGAGGGGAAAACGTGGCCCAATTGATTCTTCCAAATGTTACCTCTGTGCCAGGATAGGTGTGTTTTCTTTGCTTGTTTACCTAAGGGATTATGCCTTGACCTATCCTAAAATTCCCTGTGTGTCATGTAGAATGTTCCAAACAACTATAAAAATACTTTCTTACATCACACACACGCCCTCAAAACAGTGACATCTCTAGTAGCAACATAGGAACAACATGCTTAGCCAGCAGTCTTGGAGGTGCTATAAAGGGTTTTTGCTACAACAGGCTCAGTTGGTTTGTCCTCCAGAAACAGTGGGTGTTGGAACAGCAACTGAATTCCAAACTCTCTTTCTTCTGGATAAGGGTGGGAGCCCCACGGTGTGGTCCAGGCACTGCTTGCAGATATCCACAGGTTTAGTCCCAGGCCTTGAAAGGATCAGTAGCAAGGGATGAGAAAGTCATGGACTGCATCCAGAGACTGAGTTGTCACTGAGTCCCAGGTGATTGCTGAAACACAGGTAGTTGTGTTGCATGAACCCAGCCCCATAAACAAACCTTGGATTCTCTTCATGGATTGTTTGTGGCTGCCCACCCATGGCTCGTCAGCAGGGCTGGGTTCAGACCGCAGGACAATTCAAGTTTCTGGGACAACCCACAGTCAACCCTTCAGAGTGGATTATTCTGTTGTGTCTGAACCCACTCTCTGCCTGCCTGAAACCCAGAGAGCTGTGGTAGCCAAACAGCCCGTAACTACAGCATGGGTTTTGGAGATGACAGCTCTCGCTACGTGAAAAGCGCCTGGTGGAGAGAAGCTGAAGATTAACCATGAATGGTGGACCCCTATTTTTAGGTGATTTACACAGACTCAATGAGTATTTTACCCTAAGGTGATCCTCTAATGCAGTGGTCCCAATTTATAAAAAGTAGCTTGTTGTTACTCACAAAGTCACGTCCAACCCATCGCGACCCCATGGACAACATTCCTCCAGGCCTTCCTGTCCTCCACCATCCCCTGGAGTCCACCCAAGCTCACACCCACTGCCCCAGTGACTCCATCCAGCCACCTCATCCTCTGCCGCCCCCTTCTTTTGCCATCTTTTGTTCCCAGTATTAGGCTCTTCTCCAGGGAGTCCTTCCTTCTCATTAGGTGGCCCAAGGATTTGAGTTTCCTCTTCAGTACCTGGCCTTCTAAAGAGCAGTCAGGGTCGATCTCCTCTAGGACTGACCGGTTTGATCGCCTTGCAGTCCAAGGGACTCGTAGGAGTCTCCTCCAGCACCACATTTCAAAGGCCTCGGTTCTTTGGTGCTTGGCCTTCCTTATGGTCCTAAATGTTACAACCTGCTAAGCCTAATGAATGTAGTCTCTAAGATTTAATCCTAGTGTCTTCCGCATATATTGAAACCCCGGAGGAAGCTCGCATCATCAGTGGTGAAGAATAGGCAGGGATTTGGGAAAGGCAATGTGCCACATATCAGTGCTTTGACCTTCACTGCCTAATTAAAAAGTAACAATTCAAGGGCCAGATAAAATGATGCAACATTTACAGATTTGACCTCAGTTTTTGGTTCTGCCTATGGAAAAAACCAGGCTTAATACAAATATTAAGAAAAGGTTGCTGTGGTTAATTCAAAAGTCTAATTAATTAATTCAAATCTTCTTCAAAATAAGGATATGCAGGCAAGAGTGAACATCTGGTGGGAGGCATACATATCTGCAGTCGGTCAGACAGGAATATGTTCTGGTTCCTTGCTCATTTATTTCTTCCATAATATTGCAGAAGAGATGGTTCCCTCTGCCTTCCTTCGCCCTAGCGCTGCTCTCAGTAAGGTTTCCATTCTGCTGTATCGAGATGATTTAATCCTGTGGTCGATTAACCCAATTCTGGAAAGAATGTTGGCTCAGATTAGCTCCTTCCGGAATAAGGATCATCTTAGTATCAGCTACTGAAACCCAAGGATTGTGGGTTTTGGAAAGAGGAAGCACAAATGGTGAACAGATGGTCACCCTACTGAGCAACGTTTGTTGCTGCTACATGCAATCAAGTTGTCTCCAGCTTCTAGCAACTTTTGACAGCCCCACTCAGCTTTTCTCAATTCAAGGCTGTGGTTTCCTTTATGGATTAAACCCTTCCTCTTCTTTTTCAGCCTTCAACTTCTCCAGCATTATTATCTTCTCCAGGATATCTTGCCTTCTCATGATGAGCTTGAAGTACAACATCCTCTGACTTGATTCAATCTAGGACCCACTCGATCACCTTTCTGCCAGTCCAAGGTATGTGCAAAGTTTGCTCCAGCATCCAGCTTTGGATGTGTCAATTGTCCTCCTGCCAGCTTCCTTCTCTGGCTGGCTTTCCCACCCAGACACAGTGCTGGGAGTAGAATAGTGTGGATGACCTTGACCTTGGCCGCCAGTGAAGCATCCTTACACTTGATGATCTTTTCTTGTTCCTTCACTGCTGCCCTTCCAATTCTCTGTCTTCTTCTTGGTCACAGTGTCCCTTTGAGATAATCGAGGAGAGGTATGCACAATCTTTCACAATGTCAACGTCTTTATTGTTGACATTAAAGCTCTGTAATTCTTCTTGTAGTTGTGATTTTTGTTTTCATAATATTCAGCTGCAGTGCTGTTTCTGCACTTTCTTCCTTCACTTTCATCAGGAGCTGTTCCAATTCACTGTTTCTTTCTGTCAATACTATAATATCATCCTCATATCTTAATTATTGATGTATCTTCCACTAATTTTCACTCTCTCTGATCTTAATCCAGTTTTCCTTATGATCTGTTCCGTTTACTGACTGAAGAGAGAGGGAGATAAAATACACCCTCGTCTGACACCTTTGCTTAAAGGAAACCATTCTGTTTCTTTATATTCTATACTAACAGTAGTTTCATCAGGACAATCAAGTGCTGAGGTACAGCAACTTCTTTCCAGATCATCCATAGCTTCTCATGATCCACACAATCAAAAGCTTTGCTATAGTCTATAAAGTACAGACTGATCTTCTGAAATTAATTTTTGTGCTCCAATAGCCAACATATATTTGTGATATGATCTCAGATGCTTCTTCCTTTTCAGAGTCCAGCTTGAACATCAGGCATTTCTCACTTCATATATTGTAAAATTCTTCACTGCAACACTTTGAGCATCACTTTGCTGGCATGTGAAATTAGTGCAATGGTCCCGTGGTTGCTGCATTCCTTTGCATCTCTTTTCTTGGGGACTAGAATGTGTATTTCAAATCTGCGGGCCATTGTTTTATTTTTCTTATTTGTTGTCATATTCTTGTTAAGATTTGGGCGGTTGCAGTCCCTGCAGCTTGAAACAGTTCTGTTGGTTATCTGTTCTGGATGCTTTATTCCAGGCTGTTTTTTCTAGGATTCCGCTGCCATCTTTTTAATCTCTTTTGTATAGTTCTTCTGCATATAATTTCCACTTTCTTTCTATTTTCTCCTGGTCGGATAGCATGATCACTTGTTTGTGTGTCAGCATTCCTAATCTAGGCTTGAATTTCCATTTGATTCTGAAAGAGGTCTCTTGCTTTTCCTCTGTTGCTCTCTTCTGCGTCTTTGTGCTGGCTGTTCTAAGAGTTCCTTTTGTCTCTATGTGATAGTTGCTGAATGTCCCTATTTTTGTTACATTTTGCTTCTCACCTGCCCCTAGCATTTGTGAGTGCTTCTATCATCTTTCCATTTGCTACAGAAATTGTCTTTGGGAATTCTTCCCTCTCGGTGTCCCTGCCCCTTTATCTAGAGAGTCAAAAGCAGCTGTGATTTGAGCACTGCAGTAAATGAAAACTCAGATAGAAGAAAGCAAACATGAAATCAGATAGGGAAATAATGAGACAAATCATATACTTTTTTATTTGTGGGATATTATAGATTTCATATTCCAGAGCATTTTAAAACATGATAAAATGAATTAGGGGAAGTGGCAGATAACCAGAAAAGGGCTAATGTT